TATACCCATTCACCACTATCCTAAGATTCTCGCCGAGTTTGTCGACTATCAAGTTCTTCGCTACGCCCAAGGGACTCTAGGAGACACTAGGGAGAGCCGTGCTGATGCACTGGGCCAACTGACTCGAATTCGGGCCACCTATCTGAAACTTGTCCCTCCACTTGTGCGTTGCAGTTGATTATTAGCTGGCTCAACTCAGATTGCTCTCCTTATAGCCCAAACCTCCGCGGAAATACTCGATACTGGAAAGCGTACTTGCACCTTATGGTTACAACTATGGATTTGGAGGATATGAAGAAGATGAGGAGAATCTGTCTGATGTGGAATTTGGCGCAGACGACGATGAGAGGACGATGAAGATTTTGAAGATGACCAGTCTATCGACGATGACGGCGATGATGAAGATGATAACTTTTCCGCGATGTTCGTTTGCGACCGGGAGGCCACCAATAACTCCAACGCGGACTTCAGCCGACTTGACCAAGTCAAAACCAACCTGCAAAATCTGTTCTTTCCGGTGGGAGTTCTGACAAACCCAGTACAAACTCAACTCATTCATAGCAGATCATTGCTTGGAATTCCTCAAACTCTGGGGCCGAATTCTCTAGTGCAGTGAAACAATGTGTTGACGACCTTCGGTGGATGCGCAAGCTCAAGATTCGGGAGTATCAGTCAACTATGTTTCGAGATCGCTTTATGGTAAGATATTTGAATGTTAAATGCTGGATTCTAACGCTGCCCCTCTAGTCATCTGGTCTTCGCCGTCTCATGTTTCAGCTATCACAGTCCGACAACCTACTGGAGCAACGTTATAATGGAATCTTTCTCCCATCGTTTCGTAAATATCGTTGGAAGATGGCCTATAAACTGTTGCTGCGCGACTGGCTTTATGGGCCCGGCAACGTACCAGACGTTCTCCCACAGAATGCAACCGCCAATCCAACTGTTGACCCCTCATTTGCACCTCTTTTTCTCGACTTTATGAGTGCCCATCGGGAGATGCATGCGTGGCATCATGACCCGATGACCGTATTCACCTTCTACTCTCCCTATGCCTTTGAGCTCAATTGGCGGCGCTGGATTGAGCCGCATATTAGGGCAATCGTTCGCAAGGTAAAGTCTGCTTTCCCCTAGTTTGTTCCAAGCTTGATTTATCTCAACAGACAACGAACTTGGTTAACTCTACTATATGGGAAGCGTGCGCAGGAATACAAGGACTATGCCGTGACCTGGGCAGCAGAGGGCAATCGCCTAAAACCTAAGCCCTGCAAATCGGTATCTTCTTGTTTGTCAGTTGATCTATACTAAATTCATATCCAGACTGCAGAGGAGCCAAAGGAGGTCCAGTATGCAACACCAGATGAACTTGGTGTCAAGTTTTATGGCTCCCGACCCCAGGTACTCAAGCGTTGTGGTCGTGATATCATCAGGTTCTATGTTCATGAGAATCAAGAACGCCGACTGGTAAGTGTCTTTCTTATCTTTTCTTCTCTATACTGACTACCTTTTATCAGGTTGGCGGTGTTCACTTTCAAACTTTCTCAGAGCAAGTTCTGCAGATTCTTCTCCAGAATCATAGGCTTGTTGTCATTCATGGGATACGTCGACGGGCAGCCCTGGCGCAATGGTCACATATTGGGACCATGACTTCATTGGGTACTAGCCAGCCTAATGGTGGAGCACCGGGCTCTATCTATAATGCAAATCCCACTCATAATGCGAACACTGAACATGATACGCTGGCACTTATGCGGCAGGCTTTGGTATTTTCTCTGTTTGCGCTCAATTTATTCTAATATATTTTAGACAACTGATCTACTTGTTGAGGCTGCTCGGTCTATCTTTTCCGGAGCCCCAAAGCGTTACCGGGAGCTTACGGAGGCCTGTGAACTGGGTCTTTTTGGGAAGTATGGACTAACAAGCTATCACTGCTGCAATTTTGTAAGCTGTGTTCACTGCGACCGCGATGTCAAGGGGTATCATCTTCATCCTTGCTTCCAACTAATTAAGGAGAAGTGTCAAAAAGGCGATTTCGACTTTGTCTATTTACTTTGGCGTGTTGGCATCCATACCGAGGCCAATGCAGGCTGGTGCGTTTTTTCCTTTTTTTCCATGACGAGTTAAGTTAAAATCTTAATTATAGGCTCTTCGATGGCACTGAGCCCCATGATTCTGTCATGCCAAGTGCAGAGTCTATTAATGCAGGAGCACGATCGGAGGGTGACCACAACTCACATGTCTCACGGAACACAACCAGAGCAAGACGGTGCCATGAGGCTCAGGAAGCTTTTGAACATTTGCTAGCAGTAGAGAATTTATAACTACATGTTCTTATATTCCTCCATTTGTCATTCTCCAGTCAGCCTCCATGCGGTTCATATCATGAAAAAAAGGTTGTTTCCCTTTTTTCTCCAAGTTCTGGACAATCCACTCATTCCTAATGAGAATCATCTCATCTAGGAAAAAGTTATATCTATATATATATTTAGTTGTACTGATAATACCAATAATAAAATTTAGGCTCACCTTGGCTGAGTCATTTCTCTGGTAATTGTTTGAAAGGCACCAAACCAGACATTGGTCTGCTCTGCATTGGATGAGTTGAATGTCCAAACTGCCTTGCCATCCCTGATTGTACGCAGTTCAGGACAGAGAGAGGGAATAGTATTCTGGTTGCAAAAGGCATCATCATGCTTTTTGAATGCATGAAAGACATCTACCACCCATCTGACAAAGTCAAAATAGTGGTCTTGCTGGGTGCGAATATGCTTCAACAGTAAGCATGCCTTGTCAAAGAAAATATGTGTAGGCATAAGCCATGGTTCTGGAAAGCTTTTCTTGATAAAATCCTAAAATAAATAGATAAATAATATTTGTGAGATCAAATAGAGCACTGAACCTTAACTGATGCAGGGCCCTCATGTGAAAAGAATGTCGCACGGGAAATGATAACCCCACAGCATAATACAAAAAGCTGCTCATTGTGGGTCCAGCGCCGACTAGTAACCAACTTGATTTTCTTTGCGGAATTTTCCTTTGAGGATGAGGATGAGTCATCAGTGATATCATCAAGGAAGGACAAAGGAAATGCATCTGATCGCCGTTGAGTAGTTGGACGATCACCCTTTAACAGTCGGCGCGAAAGGTCACGGAAGGCAGCATCGTCTTTTTGTTTGAGTTCATCCTCCTCTGCCCTGTGTTCAGGGAGAGCACAGGTCAGATTGCCGGCAGTTGCAAGGACAGTACAGCCTTTGACTGCACATAAGCCCTCTCGGTCCCGATGCTCCCAGCACCATTTGTGTTTGACTGACAAAAGACGATTTTGACAGTTAACCTCTGAGCAGCAGGGATGTCCAAGTGTAACACCATCTGTTGTACCACCCCGAATGTAATCTGTGGTGATAAATATTCAATCTCTGATTTACGCAAAAATTGCACACATACATGTGGTGTTATCCTCTCTGACTAAAAACTGGACACAACTTTGGCATCCGTGGAGATAATATGGCTGGCCAATGCCTGCCATTTGTTGATTACTTTGATCTAGAGCCTCATCTAGACGCCGCTCTTGAATGCCATTATGAGGCACCTGCAGTACTTGTCCTAGATTTGACCGGTTGAGCCTGCGGCGCAAAGCAAAGACAAAAAAGCCTTCAAGAATGGCCTCTGGAGCTAGCTCTGGGAGCAGGCTTGAATTTGGTGGCATAGCTGTAGCAGTGTTTGCAATACGGCCGTTGTAGATACGTGCAAGATTTGTTGTTGAGGTACTAAGACAAATCATCAGCTGAAAAACTTTAATATTAATTGCTCTCTACTTACTGAGCATGGCAGATGCTATACTCAAATAACTCACACAGCTTATCTTCCAAATAAGCAGTCTCGGTTGCTTGAATATATGGAGCATTGATCAGATAGTACTCTCGTTGGGCATCTGGATGAGATGCATTCCGCACAAAATATGTGGGATAGTAACGAATCTTGCATCCTGTTAAATCACTTAGAGACTCAATATTTATGATAGATATACCTACCACTACAGTATAAAAGAGATATCATAGGCAGGTAAGATACCCCGATGCAGGGTATACAAGCGCACAAAAGTCGAGCCAGGATTGCCTAACTTGGTATGACAGTCAGGGCAATGGCGGTGAGGGGGGTATAGCATTTCAGCGCCTATATTGGCTCAGTTATAATTTTCTATATCTATGAGATCGGCGCACCGAGTTTAAAGAATTCTCCATGTTCTCGCAAGATGTCATCCGTCTCATCATGTAACACCGGCCCTTTCCACTGCTTGATATATGGATAAAGCATGGACCATAACTTGAGGATATCTGCTGTAGCTATGCTTGGTTCATCTTGCTGTAGCACATGGAGTAGCAGTTGAACGATGGGTGAAGGCAGTAAGGGAATTGCATTGGTACGTGCCCCAGTGACTCCATTGTCCACAATATCCCAAAGTCTTTGAACAATGGATATGAAGAGCAAGACAGAGTGTAGCTCCTGAGAGAGAGAGGAGACCAAATTGGCAACGCTGAGTAGAGCAGAGATCATTGTGTACGATAAGAGATAATATCAATCATCAACGTGACATCACATCTAAATTAGCCAGGGGGAATCTGGATATGCCCCATGGGTAGAACACCAGGCATAACCTGGGCAGACAGGCAACATACCCCCATGGAAGTCTATAGCTCCCCCCCAGGGGAATATGCTGCATGCACTGAGTAATGACCCCCATTTACCCTGTGCAATGGTGTTTGTGTACACAGTGCACTCAAGCAAAGGTGCATGCGACAGGCCTGTCTCATGTCTCATGTCCCATCACCAGATCAAGCGGCTTTCTGGCCTAAGCGAGCCCCGCATCACCAAAAAAACTTGATCACGAAGAAGACTTGTGTTCGTGCAAATTATTCATTGAATAATACAGGTCAGTCGTCAGCAAAAAAAAAAGTACAAAGTAACACAAAAGCAAAGTGTAATGATGATACGAGAGAGCACTAGAATCCGAGAGATCCATGCTCACTCGGCAGGCCGTATTTCAGAGCGAAGACTTTCATCACAAGCTGCGCTGCATAGGTACCCTCGTACTCCTGAGAACGATCCAATTCCGCCAACGGGTTGACTTCCCCCTCCCAGCAATCTCCTCCTTCAAGCGAATCAGGAGGGCATTGATGCGTCTGAGGAAAAATATCGGCGAATATGGAGGGGTTGCTGTACCCGTCCAACATATGGATCATACGGGTGCGCTCGCGGGGTTCACGGTGGCTAAATGCGTTGTCGAGAGCGTCTGCCTCTGCACGCGTTATGCCAACGGCCGTTTGGAAAGCGGGGGTATGAGTCAGGTCGAGGGTGCAAGGGAGGTCAAGAGGTTGGAGGCCAGGTTTGCGCCGTCTGATCAGGGACAAGGGAGGTCGGCCGATACAACTATATACCGAGCCATCGTCCCAAGTGGAGAGGAGGAGTAGGGACCCCAAGACGTGATCCTTCAATTGGTATTCTAGTCGGTTAAGAAAGGGATTCAAGACTTCATGACCGTCTGGATAGTAGATCGTTGGTTCATCGAAACTCCTGATGATGACTAGTAGTGGGTTGCGCGACACACTCTTAAAAGCAAACTGCAAAGGTTGAGACCAGGGATGGTGGGAAATAAGCGCGTAAAGCCACACACCGCAAGTAGCGAAATAAACTCCTCTGGCTTGCCCTTCTTGACACTTGGTAAACCAATGACCTTGTTCAGGCCGTAATGGGAAATTAACTCCCGACACTCCTTCTCGAGATACGCGTGGAGTTCGGTCTGAAAATCGTCCTTCCCCGGAAGGCGTCTGAAGTCCAAGTCTAGCACAAAAAAACCATGGAGGCGACGGTCCCACGGCCTCGAGGTCAAGGACTCTTGCTCAAGTAAGATTTGAAATGGGTCGTCAGGCGGATTGTAGTCTCTGTCGAAGGCAGCTGAGACCATGGACGCGAATAGGTCAAGGCCCCAGCCTGGTGGTCGACGTAGGAGGAGGGCATGGCGACAGTCGATTAAACGGGCGATTTGGGTGAGGGTGTGGAGCTTAAAGACGAGCGGTACACCAATCGCATTCACAATAGCATCGAACTCTTCTTGAGGATGAGGCAAACGCTGGGTATCATCAGCGGATTCAGACTATTAGACTGTACGCACTTGTATAGTTGCTCCTCTGGCATATATCGGCCCGTAGATATGAGTTAGAAGGCTGGGTTTCATGATTTCTTTGGACTCGAGAGAAGACCAACTCTCGGTCGTCGGCGCGTCTTGAGAAAGAGAACCAGAATCGCTGCCATCCGAAGAGTCATGTCCGTCAGAGTCTGAGGTAGCCGCCTGAACTACGGTGACTACTTTGAGCTGGTTGGTGGCAAGCATGGATTTCGGGACCAAGCAGTGAGCACGTTTGTCACTTGTGACCAAAGCCACGTGTTGCAACGATGTCGTTGTAATAATTTGGCCAATGCCATATTAGATTTCGCACCCAATCTTTCTTTCTCCTCCCGATGGCTGTCGTGGACCCGGGAAGCTATGTTTACCGTGTCTATATATCCGGCGTCAAGGCCGACTGCAGGCTATCACAACTATCGAGCGCTGGCCTTTCAACCATCCCGGCGTCTTCCGCAGATATGACGACAACACCGCGACAACTTGTTGAAAAGATTGCCCGGACTCACCCGACGGTTTGCCACGGAAAATGCTCGACATTCTCAGAATTCAGCTTGTCCGTCGCCACATTCTTCTCACCCCACAATCCGAATGACCCCGATATGAAACTACCGAACATAAGAGAACGCGACGACAACATGCTCAATATCGATGAAGCAATACGATTGCCTCCCTCAGTATCTGCAGATGTCGAAGGAAAACAGATGGTGCATCTACTTGTCGTCTTGGACGAAGAACTACAAAAATTCAGCGACTCCCGGGCCGCCCAGTCAGTCACTGTTTCCAATACGGAGCCTACATCCGAGCGCTACTACTTCGCTCACGTTCGTAATGCGCCGGACGACTGCTCTCTCCACGATACCAAAGATCTCATTCTACTGCCGTTGGAATGGGTTCCCTCAAATGAGGACAACGCAGTAACGGTGAAGGTCCTGTGCCAACTAGTCATCGAACAGCATCGATCGGAATGCCACGAGGCCTGTGCGCTGCTCAAGTTATTGGGGGCCGGCGTAGCACCCCCCATATTCTATAGCCCAAGCAGCGCGGATGATACAAGTATGCGCGCCAAAGGGGGCGATGGCACGACACTTGTACGTCGCCAAAACAATGTCATCCGCCCAGAAGCTTCTCTCCGGGTCCAAGCCCAACCGTCAGAGCCCGCTGGAAGCCTCGTCCATTTATTGATTTTTTTACCGCCTGGTAGCGTTATGAAGAGGCCCGCGCCGAACGCCGAGTCAAATAGGGGAAGCATTTTGAACACACCTTCATCAAAACGACGCCGTTTGAATGTGGAACACGAACCTCGCAACGCCGACGATCCTGAGGTCGTGCCAGTGGGTGGCCTTGAATCAAGATTATGGCAAGTGAAAAACAGCAATCCGGTCAGTTCTTTTCTGTCGTCTTCACGCTGGCAATGCGTTATTGGTTAAGCTGACACCAGGCCGCCAGATGTATCATGCCGACTATTCTATGGAGACATTTGATGGGCAGTGGAAAAACACGCTTTTCAATGACCTGACCACACTGGCGGAAGATCTTCGAAAAGCGGCTTACGATGAATCAGATGGTTCAACAAGAGCGTACATCAACCACCCCGCTTGCGTTCAGTTAGCACCGTACATCATTAGCGCGCTCATTGCTCTCTGTGATCCTACAGTGGGGGAAACGACATGGAAAAGGTGTTTTGGGTATTCCAACACAGAGCCCCCCGAAAGGATGTTCGCCCTCTCGTTGGAGATTCAAATTTCCGCGAATCTGCATGCAAATTTTTTATTGCAGCAACTGAAGATCTTCTGGATATCGTACCAAAGGAAGACAGGCGAACAACGAGAGATAGATGCAGAAACTCCGCATGTATTTCTCAAATCCATGTTGGTGAGTCATAAACTTGAAAGCATCTCAAGCTTCAAGCTGTCCTTAACCGGGACTCGGATTCTAGGAGACGATGAAAAAGAACCACAAGAAATTATTCTTCGCTGTTGTCTTTCATCCCGCCATCTTGCGAGGGAATCCGGGAGTATTCAAGCTTGGAGAGCAAGGCTACAAAGAGATCGCCAAAGTCTTGGAAGAATACAAAGAGAATGTCGTCGTTCTAAGCGTAGCGCCATGCCCTGGCGTAAATTTTTTGACCTATGATGAGGTCATCAAATTTAGCTCAGGCCGTCCACCAACTGACCTGCTTTTCTATCCGGAGTTCATGCGACACTGGGGCTTTGACCATAAACAGGTCAAGATTCTTGTCAGGCATTACGGCGGCAGAGAAACAGCAGAAATTCGACAAAGAGCAAGCAATGTCTTGGAAGAACGATGTCAGGTCATGTATCATGATGGCTTAGACGGCACGAATACCTCCGAATCATCGCGTTTTTATCCCTATGCGCCGGTTATAACAGTGATGGGGGCTTTGTGGAGCGGTTCAGAGCCCAAGATACAAGAAGTCTTGTCCAAGTTGCGTGGCTTTCCTAATATGGCCCAATGGCAATGGAACGGTGTTGCTGTAATTGCCCATGCCACAGTCCGCGAGGATCGTGCTTTGCTCAACACCCTGTTATATGGTCAAGATGACTCGAAGGTGCAACCCGAGGCCGAGTATGACTCTCCTCCGTTTTTCGCGCTCGATGACATCGGTTGCAAAATTGTCGCAGCACATCTTCAGCTCGGGCGGCCTGACAACTCGTACCGTGACTCGGACGTCCCAAGTACGCCAGCTATACAGCCCCTCCTGCTTTTCCGGTACATGAAAGCAATGGGCATGGTTGACATGTCCTTCCAGCGAGGGGTACTAGTGCATAAAGTGTCTATACGATTTGTCAACCAGCACATGCAGCACTGGGTATGTGCTCCCTACCGCTAGTTCAAGATAGAATGACCTGTTTTTCACTAGGCGGCTAAATCGGTGGCATTCAACTACGATCAGCTTGGGTTCTGTATCCACGATATCGCAAATGGACTCAAGCCAGAATTCACAGTCGCATCGTGGATTGGTTTTTGGGCCCGCACCCCCATCATCGGCTGATCGGACAACGGCACGCTCGGCAAAAGCTGTCAAATGTCATTTTGGGATTGTCGCTTTGCTCTCCGCTTCCCATGATGCCCTCTTCGCCAGACCTCCATTGTCCGCCCAATATGACTTCCCAACAAACTTTGCCACTCTGTACAAACCACCACAAACCACCATCTCTACCCCGTCTCATTCCTGATGCCTGGTAAACCGAAGGACCGCACCCTGCCGCCAAATGGCATTCCCCGACTCACTGCCGCCGACATCAATCGCAAACTACCCAAAAAGGACATCTCATTCCACAAGACGACGCAATCACGCGTCCGCCGTAAAAAAACTTGAATTTATTTATGGATTTTTCTCTCTGTTTCTTGCTCCGGCCACCCATCCCGCCTCCTGCCTCCCACCTCCGCCTCCCACCTCCCGCCTCACGGTGACGCCGAGCCACTCTCACACACACTCCGGAGGCCGAATGACAGCATGGAGAGAACCCAGTCAAAGCTTGGTCAAAGCACTCGCCGGCCGGGCAGCCGAGACATGCCGTGACATGATGGGGGTGCAGGCCAGAACGCCTCGTGGATTCAGCTGACCCTCACACAGATGCTCAAGGAATTGAGCATCACACAAAAGGTTGCCCTGCAAGAAAACAGCATCCAAGACATGGTAATGAACAGGATCGTCGGGTATGACATCAAAGTCAAACCGCCTGGGTTCTCTGCACCACTCCAGGAAGTTGGATGCTTCGCCACTTCCGCACCAGCTGAACCATTCTCCCCATGGCGGATTGATGGTCTTTCTCTGGTGGACACGCGGTTCATCGGCTTATCCACAGCACTCGCATCCAAAACGCTCCATTTGTTCGAATTCAAAATCGCCCGGCTCCAACAGGTGTACGAAGCCACATTCGGACTACTTGTCACTGGCGATGCACGGCGTAGGCCTTTGCCGCTCACGGCTCTGAACAAATTGGCCGATTTCAACGATTATCTTGATCGTCACAAAGCCAGTTTCAAAGAATGGGTCCAGACAACGCTGAACTTAGCTGAGAGACTCTACGGGATGCACCGACAAACTCTCCAGGACGAAATTAACAAGTATGAGGCTTCCGCATGGGATGAGAAATCAGGCTGTATCGACGCGGATTTCTCCAAAGCGCCGAACTGGGACAAATTCCGCATCCACTTCACCCCCAAAGGAGTCCGCCTTGTCCGCCCATTCAAAGGACTCATCCTGAGGGCTGCCCAGCAGATGTTTACCTACCCATATGCATTGGCAAAGGGTAAGAATGGTGACCCAGATAGGATAGACCGCCAAGAAGCTCCGCCAGGTCAAGGTCATATAATCCAGCCTTTAGCTGTGTTTGTGGTTGGTCCAATCGTTTCTGCGCACAACTACCCTTCATTGCAAACCAAGTCACTGTTCCGGTCTAAAGTATAATCTCCTGTACCTTCTCCGATGTATCGCTTCTTGAATGCATGTAGTAATGGAATTAAGCATCATATTTTTCGGACGACGAGTACATCCATACTTCAGTGCCAGAACAGACATCACGACCCTTGCAGAAGTCAAGATCGGAAATGGTTCATGTCATTGCAACCTCCCGCGTCGAGTAAAACCGTATTTGAGGGCAACACCTTCATCACTAGCTGTGCAGAGAAAACACCATAGTTTTCTTGAGAATGGTCCAATGTTGCGAAGGGGTCAGCTTCGGGTTGGGTCTCCCATATGAATAGGCGTGGAGGGCATTTATGCTTGGGGACGTAGTCGCTGAACACAGACCGCGGATAACGCCGTTCCTCTATAATGTCAATGACGCGTTTGGAACTGCAGTCACTATTGTCCAAGATAGAACATGTCCTAGTCTGAAGCATCGTCCACCATCTCCGCCACCCGCATCCCAATATTGGCCGCCATAGCTAGAAACAAAACAACACACAAAACCGTCGGCCCATACTTGTCATAGTACAAGCCCTCTGCCCTCCGAGCGCGTAGACGGTACGCCCGGTAAACGAATATTGCGGCGGAATACGCAATGGCCAGGAGGGCTGCGAGAGTAAAAAGCGCAGCGCTAATGAGACCATACGTGTCACTGGGTTCGGTAAAGTTGAGCAGCGTAGTTGCAATTGTGCCAATGAATACAGCATTATGCAGCCATTTCTAGGCAAGAATCGTGTTAGCTCAATACCAAGCACAACAAGGAATCTCACCAAGAATGTCCGCTCGGCAGCGAAGTATACCTTGGGTTCGATGCGTATTGGGACAGATATCCGTTTACCGGGTGGGGCATGGACATCCCGTGACACTCGTCGCTCGTCATCCCGTGGTCGCGGTAGAAGCGGGTCATCCTCATCTCGCTCTTCCTGGTCTTCCCGCAATGTCTCAGTTGACTGCTCTTCTTCTCTCCGTTTCTGTGCCCGCCTCTCGCCCTTCAGACGATCCCTCAATGTCTCGTCGAACGCCAATGATGGGGCAAGTGGGTCAATCGACAAGGTTCGCGGTTTAGGCGGTATAGCGAGGCCCTTGCGTGGACTGGAAGGTTTGATGTCGCCACCGTTGGTTTCGTGGTTGGCAGGAGCCTTGCCTTTCGCCTTGAGCATTTCTTCCCGGAACGCAATCGCCTCGGCAACCTCTTTCCCACTCAACCCCGTCCGCTTGTCTTCATCATAAGCCGGTTGGCGGTCAGCATCATCGTCCTCTTCTCCCTCTGACAGCGGTTCATGGTAGGCATCATCACTATTCGGTGACCTAGTCCCACCCGTAGAATGCTTCGTCGAAGAACCGGCTGACGGTGTATGCGGTGGTCGCTCGATAACACTCAGGTAACCCGTATCGGGTTTCAAGATGTCAATGTCCACTGCAACTCGTCAGTAATTTGTGTGGCTCTAAAAAAAGTCAACGAACTCTGAGGCAGCCAGAACGGAACGAGATCGACGCGGTTAGGTAAAAGCGTAGCACATCCATGGATAAACTTGCTACGAACGTGCGTGAATGCTTCGTGAGTCCACGAGGCCTGGCCAAGCTCTGCCAAATCCACTCACCTGAACTTTGGGACAGCTTCAACAAGATGCGACTGCACCAACTCCATCACCCATTCCGGAGGCTCTTGGCCAAACTGTGTTTGAAGCTTGACTTCGAGAACGCCATATCTAACCCAACGTCAGAAAACGAATGAAAAGACTTTGTGGTCACACACTTGAACTGTTCTTTGTCGTCTGCCGGCAACTGCTCAAATGGATAGTCAATTCCAATATCCGTTCTCCGCCAGTTATCACCCGCTCGACTCCGCCCATCCCAATTGTCCTCGCGCACCATCGTCAACTCTGTGTCGAGCGATATCCGGACTCGAGCATCACCAGGAAGTTGGAATGCTGTCCGGTTGTAGAAAGAACGCATGACTGACAAGCTGGTGAGTTGGATGTTTGCCAATTCTTACTCAAGACATACCAGGTTGCAACTTTCTTGACAGAACAGCATACTGGACCTCATTCGCCAGCTGAATCATGGAATCCACCTCCTGTTGCGTCTTTTTGCCCTTGGTGACTAGTTGTTGAAACTCTTCGTCAACGGTGTACTCGCCTCTCAAGAATGCATTGACGAGATGCTCCTTGATTGGGAACCGGGCTTTGACGGACTTTTCGCCCGTCCAATCCTCTCGATGGGTTTTCCGCTCCACGAATATCTGGACTAGTCAGTGTAGCCCAAGTGGCAAGAGGAGGCAAGACAACTCACCGTTTTGACGCCCATGTCGCCGTACCACCGTAAACGAATGGCTTCTGCACCTTCAGTCTTCTCCAAACGACCAAGGTACAGCTCGAGGTCCTCGTTATCGAAATATATTGACGTAATGGCAGCGTCCTTGGGGTCGAACTCCTTCTCGGCATTGAACACTGTTCAAAGTTAGTGATCCTTCGTGGTCTCCGACTGTTACAAACCGAGGACAGGCAGGTGACGCAGAATCGCAAGCTTGAGCGGCACGAGGTTGTCTGGATGCACCCAATATTTCGTCGTCTGTCGCACAAAAGCACTCTGGCTCCCGCCAGCACTCGAGTCGCCCTGGACAGGATGGCCCCTTGTCCTCACCAAATCATACAACTTGGAGAGCTTGACGATAAGCGCGTCCCAGTTGTACTTGTAAAACGCTCGCTTTTCGAGGTAGTCCTGGACGAAGGTGGACTTGAGAGATAATCCCGTTAGTTTCTGGACTCTGAAGTCATTATTCTGGAAAATAGAGCAGGCGGGCACCAACGTCGTGTTTCTGGGAAAGAGATACTGAGACCGAGCTTGTAGGGAAAACCAAGACAATGCTAACCTTCAAAATCTTCATGAACCCCGTGATGTTGAGCTTGGTATATAACGCCAAGTCGTGAACGTCTGCAACGAGATTCGCGACCTCCTCCTCCAGCCCATGGAAACGGGCCTCAAGGGCATCGAGTGAGTCGGCGCCCATTGAGGAGACATCCTCGTCGGAGTCAGTATCGTCATCAGAGCCACCGTCAAGGCCAAGACTGTCTTCCAACTGGGTCTCTGGGTCAGGGCTGCTTGGCGAACGCATCCGGTGATGTCGCGGACTCCTCAGCGCATTCTCCTCAAATATGCGCTCCTCGTTCACCAGCCGTTTCACGTCCTTCTCCGCTTCGCGAATGCGGTGAGCGAGCTCGGTGGTCTAGAAGCACGCGCAAAATAAACATTGTGTCGTGAATGGAAACGGGCAACGGCTACCTTCGCTTTTTGAAAGTCGTGGATCTTGTCGAGCTCCTTCTCGAGCAGTATAGTGAACTCCTTCTCGTCCTTGGACCTCCAGCCATGCCCTGTCGTACGAGCCTATCAATACGGATAAGCATACGAGGATACACGGCCTGCGCAAGATGAATTCACCTTGAGCTCGCGCTTCAAAAGGTTGTAATCAAGATAGAATGGGCGCCATTCGTTGTACAAGTCCGTCTATGACATAGTGATTAGGCAGGTGGCGGAAGAAGACACCGAGCCCTTACACTGATTTTTCGACCAAACTTCATAGCCTAGTGGGAGGAAGAAGGGTCGGGATATATTCGCATAACAAACACGATTTCCGTGGGACTGCAAGGAGCAAAAGGCCGCTGAGCCGACAAACGTTCGTCTGTCAAAGTTCGAGAGAAGACTTGAATGCACAGCCTCCGATCGCGTGATCAATTTTGGTCCGGCATCAATCTGTGGGCGCTTGTCACTGTGGGTCTATATGTACAACAAACAAAAAAGACAACTATTGATACAGCGTACAACATTATTTGCGCTTCCATCTGTCTACTAGCTCTTGCTCACGTGTTTCGTCTTCTTGGTCATCCTCCCACATTATAAACGACATTTCCTCCCGATTTGAACTCATAACGCGTCCATACTCCAGGAACAATCTAGATCTGGTCAGCAAAGTTCTCAAGCAGCTCTAACTCACCTATAGTTATAAGCCACCAAGTCTTCCTTCCGCCAAAACTTCCTACTCCATTCCCGCCCTGCTTCGGCAATACGTCGGGCCATGACATCATGGGCACCTTGACCGCTTGGATCCCCACGAAAGAACACAAGTGCGTCGAGCAGGTCGCTGAACGAGTTTTGGATTGGGATAAAATGTACCCATGGCGCCAATCGATCGGTGAACCTGGAAGAAGATTAACAAAAGGCGACATCAACAAAAAAAAAATGTTACCATTCTGGATAGCCGCTCGCCTTGAATATCAGAGACCCGGAGTTCATGAGACGCTTGAAGCGACTAGACCAGCCATTCCCATCCACCTATGTGGAATGAGTTCAACGAGAAAGAAAAACACAACACTTACGTCGAGGATAAACTTGTAGTGGGCAGCCTTTTTGAGATCATGAGCTGCCCGCCATTCGAACATCTCCTCCAACTTCGCGCATTCCTTTGGCTCGCAGTTCAGAGGGCGGCCCGCAAATGCCACATCCAGCAAAGCATTCACAAAACGAGCACGCGGAACCTCTTCCGGCGGGCCAACAGGCGAAACTTCTTCTTCATCTTTCAGAGGCATCAACACGCTTGCATTGGCTCCCCCAGAACCTCCCGCCAATGCAGCGAGCCGAATTCGATGTGCCTCTCTCCACCTCCCATCAGCCGCATGCCAAATTCCCGTGTTGCTTCCCCGCCACTGCAATCGTTCGTCTGTCCGTTCCTCCCAACTAAATCCTAAAGGTGGTGGTCGTCCTTCATTGGGAAAATCGTCAGTTACCCAGTTCAGCGGAACCGCTGGGCGGATGTCACTGTGCAGAGGCGTAGTACTGTAGCTGAATTGGGGAATCAGCCTTCGATATGGTCCAGGACCGGTACCATGCGGGAGATACGCCCCATGGGTATAAAAGTGCGACGGGTGGAGACAAGGGTCCATAGCGAGGCGGTGATTATAGACAAAAGTCTTCACCCGAGGATCCTTGTCAAAACGGTCAATATCGAAGCTGGGAAATTCGTCAGTAAAAACAAATGTGCAAGCTCAAGGACGAACATGGTTGATGTCTGCCCAGGAATGGACGGAAGACCCGTATTAGGATGTAATTCGTCGAAAGGTAATGGTAGAGAATCGAGGCGTGCTGGAGAAAAGGGCGGGCAAGCCGACAACCAGCCATGCTTTTCCGACGGAGGTTTTGCTATGTCAATATCTGCATTGGATCAGATTAGCTTTCTTTTCAGCAGAGGTGGGCCGTGATCAACGTACATCGACCTTCCTTGGCAGCGTCAAGAGCCAGTTTGCGCAGTTCCCACTACAACGCCGGTAAGAAAGGGTCAGAGGGCTACCAAAAAAGACCACTCACATCAGTAACGAGATTGGGGTTATCATGCGGACTGAAAACAGCTCGGAACGCAGGCAGTTCGTGCTCGACCTCGTCGAGAAGCTCGATCATCTGGAATGCGCCTTTGACGAGTTCAAAGCGGACTGCTTCATTCTCCGGCAACGTAAAATTGAGTAGCGCGAGTTTTTCTTCGATCAAGTCTTTCCCAATGGTGTATGAGTCAGCATGTGCCTCCCAATCGGTTTGAATGCCCTGTAGATCGAGCGGTTCAACACCATAAAAAGGCCCTAAGTCGCGGTCGATTTGGTCGTACTCGTCAGGAAGCTGGACTCTGTTTGCTACCACGTAGCCCCACCAAACATCAAAGCCTTGTGGAGGGGGCCTGTTGTACCGTCGTGTGTATTCTGCAACAGCTTGCCGGAGAGTTTTACTCGCAGAAGCAAGTTTAGTGTCCCATTCGAGTTGCGCTCGCGCGACGAGGGAGAAAATGGGATGTGGGGCGGCGGGATTGACTTCGAGCAGTCCATCGGATCGAAAATTATGCTCGCCTAGCACGGTTGGGCGAGCTGGAGGTGAGCGAGTTGAGGCGGGGATCTCGGCTGGCCCCAGAAAGATGGTCGAATACTCGCGGTGAGTGAAGGTACGCGTTGTCCAGCGGGTGTGGGTATATATTTGCGTGTGAGTTACTGTGGCCCGTCCTGCAGCGAGTTTAAACGCGATCTTGGTCGAATGCTGGGCATCGAAGACGACATTACGCATATGGGGGGCGAACCAGAAGAGGGCGAGGAATATCAGAAAGAAAATAATGGGACGCCGCAAAGAGCGACGCCGCAGAACGGTGTACAGTGGCGGACTCATGCGAGTTGTGGGTCGGGTGAAGAAAAAGTGGAGGGAGGGAGGGGGGTCTCAGTCTCGATCGGTTCACAGCTCGCTCCAAATGGCAGCATCCGCGTGGGTTTCCCGTTGTCTGGGCTGAACATCGGGTCCAGAAAAACTTCATTTAGGCTGTTAGCTTTGGATGGCAGCCGAAGAGGTTAGGTTTGGCCTAGGGGTTGGATCGCGGCATAATGCACAGGAACATCCAATTAAGAGATCATCCTGGGAGTTGGACAAGGATGTGCGTGAGGCTTCAAAGTGTTGAGTACGGCCATTTGTGAGGGAAGAAAGTGAGGGGAAGCCTGAGGCTTCGAAAGGCGGGTCACGTTGTGACATTAGCGGTATGGTTTCGTCGGTGCAACCGATGTCGATGAACTTTCGAGCTTTTCAATAACGACCTTCAATCGCTCTGCTCACCAAACATCCACAGTCTGATTTAGTCTGAAGGTAGTCAGTGAGTAAGTATTGACGGCCAGTGATGATCATTGCCGTCCAGGGTTTCTCATCGTGTCCTCTGGAAATCGTTTCAACCCTCGCAATGGTCGCGTTATCAATTACCTTGGCCTTGGTGAAAATTAGCAAGAAAACTAAAGCAAATTACGGCCCCGGTGTACGGTTCCAGACGGTTCCTTGGACGGTTCCCCAGATTCAGATGATCCTAAAAATATCTGAACGCCCACAAACCATATGTTCCGCCGCATAACACCGCTTTCATTCGCACACAGAGCTGTTTCTGACTCGAGCCACCATCACCACCTACCCATGTCGCTTGACTTGCCTCTCCCTTTCCTCATCGGCGTTGTGTTTGTTGGATACCGGGTGCTGCGTTTCTTGCAACAATTGAGTGTCAGTGTCCTTTCTCTCAAATGTTCCATACTCATTGCTCATGGGATTCCAGCTCCATGGCTACACTAAGGGATACAGGCCTCTGTTAGACCCCCATTCTCTCCCTGGAAATGCCATTCCGGCAACTTGGTGGCACATGGGCTTTATGTGGCCATGGACACAACGGAAAATAGGTCTCGATTAAGGGCTATTTCGTCCCCAACATCCCTAATTTACTTCTTTTCTAGCTCATTTCCACCATACACGCGATCTAACCACCATAATACCCATTCTCGCGGGCAAGAGCATGTACATTGCCGCTTCTGTGGGTACGGCAAAACAAATCTGGGGGAACGAAGCAAAAACACATTTGATCAAACCCAGCGATTTCACAACGGAGGGGTGAGTTGGCAACTGCATATTCTTATGTTTTCAAAAGGCTAATCATGTCGCCAGAGTTTGGGGAAACAGTATTGCTTCTGCTAATGGAGACGACTGGAAACGACATCGTCGCGTAGTTGCTCCTGCCATCTCGCCCAAAATGTTTACCTCTTGCTCTTGTATTTTAGACTTGCCTTTTGACACTCTTATAGGATCTCGCGCGTCGTCGAAGAATCCTCCGTGGTGTACGAAAAAATGTGTCAGGATCTCACCTCCGGCGGCAAATTTAGCACGCTCATAAATCTGCATTCTTTACTACTACGGGTATTAGATTCTCTTCACCCAAATGCATTGGCCATACTTATTGATCTCAACCAGTATACATTTGTCATGATTTGCCGTTGTGGATTTGGGATGTCAGTTGAGTGGAAACAAAGCATGGCAGCTGATGAAGTGGCCATCTTTGACCGTGCTCTCTCTGTTGCGTCTGCAACCCTTATCCATCGCCTCATCTTTCCAACTTGGGTTTGGCGACTCCCTATCCAGAGGTCAAATCTGCGCCAACGCTACTTGGCCCAACTAATAACAATCAGGTTACGCGATATAGACCAATCCTGGAAGACAGTCTTGACTCTCATGACCTCCCTTGCTACTGAACGACAAGCACAGTATTCAATCATGAGGGAGCTTGGAGAGGGCGAAATCACCGACCTTTTCACGAAATTAGTGTCTTCCACCGATGAGACCTCGCGCTATATGTTAACGCCTGCAGAAGTAGTAGGTGTTTCGACTTCAAGTTCCACCGTCGTGTCCAATTTACTCAACCTTGTTAGACGGGGAACATGATGTCGCTTCTCTTTGCAGGCCACGGTAGCATTTAGAGACCCTACGTTCAAGTGCAACTAACAAATTTATAGAGACGACGAGCAGCGCGTTGATGTCAACATTGGTGTTTCTGGGTCTCCATCCCGACACGCAACAGACTGCATATGACGAGATTGTCCGCGAGATACCCTTTCCTCAAGGAATGGTCAGCTGCTAATTTTGAAGGAATGGTACCCCTATTCTTACTCGTTTCTAGACTGTGCGGAATATCTTCGCACTCAAATACCTTCTCGCTTGCATGCACGAGGCCCACCGGCTTGTCCGTCAGTGTCAGGGAAATCATATCGATGTCTATTAACCCAGACGTAGCTGCAACCATCAACCTACCCCGCGATGTGCCAGAGGATATGGTTCTGCACACTCAATTGCCTAAAAGGGACGTTGTAATTCATCGGGGTTCACGAATTATGGTCGATATCATGGCCGTCTGTTCGTCCAGCTTCCGACGCTTTGGTCTAGAGCTGACTTGAAACGCTTACATAGGCCACAATCCACACGACTTCCCCGCTCCCGAAACCTACAACCCATCTCGTTGGATGTCCCCAGACTTGGATGTAAAGGAAGACATCATTATGTTTGGAGCGGGTCCCCGTGCTTGCGTAGGTCGTCGGTTTGCACAGGTCGAGGCTCTATCGTTCCTCGTACACTTTCTCCATGACTGGAAAGTCGAGACAGTTCTGCAAGAGGGGGAAACCCACCAAATGGCTTTGGATCGTGTCTTGACTGGTGCAAGTATGCATGGCACCGCATTCGGACTGGGAGAAGTACCCGTGAAAATTGTGAAGCGTAACGAGAGCCAAGCTACGAATCGTAGAAAGTAGTACTTGAGTGCGTGAAATCAAAAGTCAGCTTAGTCATCTCCGATTTCGGACCGAACGCGATATCGCGTGACGTGACCGTTCTCAGGCGTTAAAGCCGAATCTGCTTTCACCCATGTCCACATACGGCGCGACCTCAGCCCTTGTACGAACGCCGAGTTCATCGTCGTCCCCTTCTACACGCACAAAAATACTTCTCCTTGGCCAGCGCCGCGCCGGAAAATCTTCAATCAAAGAGGTCCTTTTCAATGCGCTCCCGCCAAAACAGACTTTTCATCTCGAAACGACAATGCGCGTTGACCGGCACCCTTACGAGTGAGCTGTGTCTCCTCCCCCACCAGTTCTCGCCGCTCAGAACGTCTCCAGCACGATTATTCCGCTCGAGATTTGGGACTGCCCGGGGAACGTAACCGTCGACACACTTGGCGCGCCACTGTCGCAATTTGGGGCTCTTATATTCGTCATTGATATTCGTGTAGTCCCCTCCCGTTTTTCTGTGTGCTTTAGGGACTCAGGCTCTTTCAGGATGTGTTCAAGCAGCCTATAAACAAGCTAGTAGAGTTTATTGTGGCTGCACAACAACAAAATCCGTCCATCTTTGTGGAGGTTTTCGTGCACAAGTCAGAAAAGTTTCAGGAAGATGACAAGATTGGTGCGTCTGCATTTTCCTCTTGCTTTCAAGGTCTCTAACCCACACCCAGAAAACTTCCGGCAGATCCAAGAACGTGTTCATGAGTCGCTCATCGACCGGGAGTGCGACCAGATGCCGTACAACTTTCATCTCACGTCCGTCTACGACCACACCCTGCATGAAGCTTTCTCGAAAGTCCTCCACAAACTGATCCATCCTTTGCCGTTTCTGGAAGATCTCGTGAACGTCTTTTGTGCCGTATGCGACCCGTTTCGAGCAGAATTTGGGGGTGTCTAATGCGTGGTTTAGAACTCGCAGTCGCCGAAGGCGTTTCTTTTCGACATCGCGTCCCGACTATATGTGGCCACCGACAACTCTCCCGTCGACTCTGCCACTCATAATCTGTGTTGCGACTATCTTGCCATGCTAAACTCTTTCGGGCCACTGTATCGGTAAGTAAGCAAATGATATAACACACGCTCAAAATCTCACGTGTCAACAGAACGCCAACCTCCCGTGACAAACGACTGCGACTACCTGAAGAGCCTGCAAGTACAAATGGCCATTCCTCCCTACCGCCCACACCTTCATCATCATCATCATCTACCTCCTCACTTTCCTCTCCCACCAAAAGCACCTCACCCTCTCCCGAACAAGCCCGCTTCTACCCCTCTGCCGCCGCGTCGCTGCACCCATCGACACCGGGAACAACTCTCACCTACCATCTCGTCACGCCCCACCTTGCGCTGGTCGCTCTGGTGCCAACGGCGGTTTACGAGGGCAGAAGAGGCCTGCTCGAATATAATGTCGTCTTTGTTCGGGAGGGCGTGCAAGAGATTTGGGAGGTTGAGCGGGAGGTAAGGAGGGGCTGCGCCGCGGTAGTCGAGGACTGGTTTGTGCTTATTAGAGTAGTTACCTAATTTAACTAGATATAGCATCAATATACCTTCATACTTGAATTTTTCTTACCTTGGAGTCAGTAGTTTGCCTTGGAATAAGTTGATTTGTTAGATGGACTGAAAACTTGAAGAAAAGGAACGAAAAGAAAATAGACGCTAAAGGTCCCCACAAGGAAACATGCGGTCTCTGTACCTACGCACAAGCTCCCCACCATGTATGCTACAGAAGACAGCAATCGTTGTAAAAACCAATGCATGTAACATCAACCTCTCCCTGAGTCTCCCAGAGCGGCGGTCTCCATCCAGGTGCTTCTCATCTACGCTCTGCTGTCCCCCCCCGGCACCCACTGCACAGTCGCCCGATAGACATTCAAGAAAGTATATTTTGCCAAACGTTCCACCGCCTTTCGTGACGCCAGCACTGACCTAAGGAATGTCAAGTCCTTCGAAGTTGAACGTTGAACGTTGAACTTCTCCTGATCACAGTTAAGCTGTGGCTGTGCTAATCTTCAACTCTGATTTCTCCTCCATGTCTAACCTCCTCCCTTTGAGTGGACCCCCTGAGGCAAACGCAAACTCTGCTGATACTGTTTATCTCCGCATTCCCTGCGCGTCTATTCGTCTCCATCTACAGTCCGATGCGGTTGTCTCTGGCGAATCATTGTGTCTTCTCAGTGGCCTCCTTGACGATTTTCTGCTCTACGCTGGTCAAGAAGCTTCCCAGTGGCTGATCGACCAAGCTCACGCCATCTGCGATCCCGCCCTCCTGCGCGGCTCGCTGTGGGTCTGGAAGGAACAACAGCACAAATGGGGTCTTGTCGCTGGCTCCGATGCGTTGGAGTCTTCCACTTATTTTTACATCCTTCCTGATGAGACGACGACGCCCCTATCCCGGATCAGTGAACGGGAGGGCAAGTCGAAAACGGCTGCGTCGGGAGATGCCGCTGTTATGCGGGAACGTGTGCTGGCGCGGGACGGGTGCTGCTGGGTCACGGGAAGCTTTGAGCCGGTATGTAACAGCCATATTTGCCCCAAGCGAATGGGGGATGATGTTGCGAGGGCAATATTCGAGACGTTCACGGGACAACCCCGCCCCGGCCTCTCTGTTGTTGATCCAGTATTTGGCGTGTGCTTGTCGCTCAACATGGACTCATGGTTCGACAACTATATCATGGGCTTCCGCTATGTTTCCCCTGACACCTACGAGACACACATCTTCGACAATCAGCCTCAATCATTCACCGTTGGTGGCCGTTTTCGTGGAGCTACAACTCACGAACGAATCCACCATCACCTCGCTCGCCCGCCAGTGCCAGACCATGCGTCGAATCCTCCGCCTGGACTTTTCCGTTGGCATTACATGCAATGCGTCGTTCACAGGTTTGGCGATGACGAGTACAAATCACTTGCCAATATTCGATTCGCCAATGAAAGGTATCGGATGGAAGGTGATTCAGACAATGAGGACAACGAGACCGACGACGATGCAGAGTGGCCATCGAAGATGTTCGATGTTGGACAAGCAGTCGAGGCAGAGGAAACGGAAGCCAAAGATCGTCTTGATGCAGTAAACAAGTGGTTGTCCTCGTAATAGCCCTCATAATAGGCTACATATATCTTGCCAGACAGTGCTATCCACATTATCGTATTTTAAGACGAACAATCCATTGCAGTCAGTCAACCGCAAGCCGTTTAGGCTATAGCATTAGATCATTTCACGTCTAAACGCGTTGACGACTATTGGCGACTCGCTGGGAGGGGGGAAAGGATGTGGCAGTTGGTACAACTGGATTGCGACTGCAGGCAAAAGGGTGGGACAAGACAAGCTTTCTTTGGAGCTACGATAACATTAGAAGCCGGTCTCCATGCTAAATTAGGTCACACAACTCGTACCATAAAGCACTACACCACAAGGTTTCATCAGCACCTAAAACGGCCGCCGTTATTTGAAGATCCAAAGGAGGTTCCTCCAAAACACTGGGCCACGCGTGCAGTCCAAGGCACCCGCGCGGTGCAATCCTCCTTCGAAGTTTGCCGGGGCGAAGCGAGGAATTTCCGGCAAGAGGTGTCAAATTCGGGCGTCCAGCCTATGCGAGATCAAACGTAAATTTGATTGGCAGCTCCGGCGCACCGCCATCCATCGCCGGCTCACCACACCAGTTACCTATTGAAGCAACCAAAAATATGTGAGTTAGTCCAAATTATGGACATTTTGACTGTTCAACCACTAGTGCTGGGCTTTTGTCTCCTCCAATAGGTTATTATTCAAACAATGTCATTTCTGGTTGAGCTCCGGACCGCCTCCGGTGGCCCCAAATCAAGCCTGCCGGTCCCGGCCGCCATCAACTTTACGTTTGATCTCGCATAGGCTGGACGCCCGAATTTGACACCTCTTGATTTCCGGTCCGATGTCAACGATGACGTCATCGATTTCAGGTGTCACCGTCAATTTTCATGACGCGATCACGTCCTCCAAACATAGCCCAACCCATCTGCGTCAAAATAGTTCTCGCGTGCTGCCTCTGCCTGGGAGACGCTGTACTGCGGGGGCGCGTATGATCGCGGCGGCGGCGACCGACTCGCATTCATGGTCACGATTTCGACCTGTTGTCGCATAAGGGACTGATGGCCTTGTGTTTCTGGCGACGGTGTGAAGGCGATAGCTTTGAATGGGAGAAGTTCGACCGAGTACTACCTCCGTGGATGAGCAACACGATAGGAGAAAATGAAGAAATCAAGCCAAACCTCGACTGCAAAGTGAGCGATCCGGGCGCTTGGCTTGAGCGTCATTGGCAGCGGAATTTCACCCTCCAGACGTCGATGTGTGATATTAGCGGTTTCTTCAATAACCGGCCACCATGAGGCAAAGACCATATTCTCAGCTGGGTCGGCCGAAAGGTCGGCATTAGCGTCAAACATTCCGGACCGCTTTGATGCAGGCTGAATAGGACGCAAACGACGTCGAAGCGCCACGGCGATCGCTCGAGGAGCAGAAAGTAGGTCCAACGCCTGCCAATCCGTCGAGGAGAGATGAATCATGCATGGAATCTGTGAGCCGCGGGTAAAAGAAAGCTACAGAAACAATAAGCACCAAGAGGACATGACACGAGCGAGGAAGGCGCGCACGGGCTTCGCTATAGAAAGCTGCGCGGGAATGTTATTACAAACGTGGACAACGCAGAGTCATTGAGTCGAACCTGACATGTCGCCTCAACCCGTCTCTTGTTAAATGCTGTGCCGCGGATAGTGAGTGGTGGTAGCTGATACCAGCCAGCTGGATCGGCTTCCGGCCCTTGAAGTTGAGTGCCTTGCTGGTATGCGAGTTGTCTGAGAGGTGAGGGTGATGGTGGACGTGTGGCTGGGATATAATTGAAGATGGTCTGAACTCTGAACAGCTGTTGGTGAGGTTGACTTGAATGATGGCCAGTGCGTACCTCGAGTTGACACGAAACTTGCTTCTGGTGATATGAACCACAAGGGAGTACTGCACGCTGGTTGGAAACCGGCGCTCTAGAAACGTTTGAGGAAGACGAAAGCTTCCTGCGTATCCTGGGACCGAAATGGAGCTCGGAATCTCGATCGTGAAAGGCCATTCGTAATGTCCTACCAGTTTATAGGCTGGCAGCGAGGAATTGTGAGGGTCCCCTCGATCCTTCGCCCACAAAACGGATTTGAGTTCAAGAAAATTGAGAGGGTCTTTGTCGTCTTGTCCAGGAATAACTTGGCCCTTCGCCTAGAGGCATATGGGATCAGTCTTAAGAATAGTAGGCGAGAATGAGGGCAGGACGATGAATGAGGCCGCTATGCGACAAGGAACGTCTATTAAGAAACTTACCACAATGTCTACAGCAACGATACTGTCTGACTGTGCAAGATCCAAAGCAAGCACTCCCACCAGACGATCTCCTTCGAGGATTGTCGGCAGTTGATGGGGATTGGGTGAACGACTGAGCAGCTTAAGTGTTGCCCAGGGGGACGCGCCGCGTGAAGCGAGCGTAAAATGGTGCTCTGTCATGAGACGGCGTTGTGATGGTGAAGGAGAGTAGCCTGGTGGACGAGGAGGGGCGGTGGAGTCATATGAAGGTGGTATGGTTGGGTCCATCGAGTCCAGCGTTTGCATGACACGCTGGACAAAGTCGGCCATCTTGTTGAGGATTGCATGTAGTGGTAGACGCCAAGCAACGAAAGTGACGCGAGTTCTTTATAGCTATCTGCCCCGGCACACATGGCGGGATCAAGAGAAACATCGCGTGTCACGCCGAGTCACGCGCGAAACGAAGATGGCTTTCCTCGCAAGGTTCACGTTCTTCCTCATTTCCGAATCCACACATACCTCCATTCTGTCAATGGGCTTCCAAGCATCGGATCTACCGCTACATCTAGCATGTTTGGTGCGACAACACAACCCGCAGCCAATGCTTTTGTCGGCGGCAGACCCAACAATCGGCAACGAGAGGATTGTTCTATCAACCACCGGCAACAACTTATAGCTACAGCTGCACTATCTGGAATCCTCTCAGCGGCGGTGGCAGTGTGACACTTGAGGCCCGTCTTGAGCATTTTCCTCAGTCAAATCGACTTGTTCAACACAGTAAGCTCGCTAAAAATCCCATCTGTTTGGAAGAAACTCGAAAAAAGATCCTCATATGCTCCCTCATTGGACCCTCAACGACAATCTACTGTTTGGAGATGCCCAACGCAATAATTTTAGGCGCATTAGTTCCTTCTCGTCAGACAATTACTGCTGGATCAAACCTGGGTTCAAGATCATCGGGCGCTGCTCCCGCTGCGAAGTCTATCAAGTTAAACGCCCGTTTGGGAAGATCTACGCCAATGCAAACTGGAGAAGAAGCGATGAAGAGCGCGACTCTCTCGGAGTGTCCATACGGGATCATCATCACGCGGATAATCGACGGATTTAGGAATCCGCATGTTAATGCGGCTTATCTTAAAGGCTATGGTAACTGAACAAATGCGCCAATGGCCGGCATGGTACATAGTATCCAAGGTTCGTCCGCTATCACCGTATGGGTGATTCTTTTGACTATATCAGTCAAGTCAATTGAACGCAAGCTTCCCTCGTCAGCTGGCCAAATTTAGGCCCGCGAAATCCATTTACGGTATACCTCTTGGGCTGCATTGGCATGCACAGATACGCGGAGTGCAAGAGGATGGAACTGGCGAACAACTCGCAAAGCTCCGGTCAATGAAACTGTCGAAGAACAGTCCAATAACTCATGATCATCGCAAAAGGCAAGGAGACAGCTGGTGAACGAGGTTGCAACCCGTTTTAAGTGATGGAAGTGGCGTAGTCTCGACAGCCATTGGTCGCTGAACATTCTGACCTACCAGGTAATTCCTTGGTCCGAATTTCGTTCGACGCAGAGTTGGCGGAGTTGATTGGGATGGACGAAATGGTACTGCTGCAGACAATTGCCAACACACCTTGGAGTCTTGAATTACATCACTTCCGCCATTTGACGAGAGTGAAGTGTGAGCAAACGAGGAGGAGAGGATGGCAGTAGACGGAGATACTGCTGTAGAATATAAAAAACGATATCATGCAACTAAAGCGGCTTCCCTTATAAGTTTACGCGTCTCTAGCGCTGTTGTACGAGCTCTTCATGGTTATCGGCACTCAGTCTGTCAATGGCCTACTACTCACGTCGCTGTTTGTTTTCGATCACCGATGACACATTTGTTCAGCTATGCATTTTCTAACTATAGCATGAGAAATGCAACTAAGCTAGAAGTTTCGGCTTCCCGGGTATATAAGTGCGACAGGAACTTACGGTTCGCAATCCGAGACATGTCCTCAGGCTCCCACCAGATATCTTACTTCCCCCCACTCGATTCCAGTATATGGGACTTGCTCCAAGTGATGCTGACAATATCATGTCAACAACTCTCTCTCTGAGACCTTCCCAGATTGACGATGTGGAGCTCAAGTTTCTCCGGGAACAGACTGGAATATCCGATCCAGCCAAACTGAAAGAGCATGTCTTAGCCGTGCAGACAAAGGCTTATGAGGTTCTCTCCCTGTCACAGATGCATTGCCATCATCTCACTCCTGCTTGAAGATCTATGGATACCCTTGTATCCGTCTGTTTTCTTTCGTCAGGTTATTAGTCATTGGGACATGAACTATTTGAAACGCAATGTGTAAGCTGAGCATTGACTAGATTGCGAATATCTCGACTTCCGGCCTATGTCAAGGTTTTGAATCTCCTTCGTGAACGGCCAACCGCACTCTGTCTTGACTTGGGCTGTTGCTGTGCGTTTCGTTTGAACAAGACTCGAATGCTAGCGAGCGCTCACCATGTTATAGTTGGCACAGATGTGCGTAAACTTGCAACAGATGGTTTCCCAATCGAACAACTCATTGCAAGTGACTTACACAAGGGTGGGTTGCACCTGTCTATTTGACCGTGAGTGACCTATAATTGGTAGAGTTCTGGAATTATGGTCATGAACTATTTCAAACCACACCAGAAACACTGCCAATCAAGTTCCTTGAAGGCGACATTTTCGATCCAGGGTTCATGCAAGCAACTACATCCCCGTTAGAAAGTCCACTCAAGCTCGACACAATCACCTCACTTACTCCATTAGCGGGTCAGCTCTCAGTTATCCATGCATCGTATTTCTTCCATCTGTTTTCCGAGCACAAACAGCTTGAACTTGCGAAAATTCTAGCAAAGCTCTTGTCCCCACAGCCGGGGTCACTTATCCTGGGCGCTCATACCAGCAGGGAAGAACAGGGTACCAGAACACGTCCATATCGCGGCCAGGGAGATCAGGCAGGCGAAATGTTCTGTCACTCTCCGGGTTCATGGGTAGAACTATGGCAGTCGGTTTTTCCAACGGGGAGTGTACAGGTAGACGCGAGATTGGTGAAGCGTGGCGATCCAGGAAGTCATCCAGCAGATATGGTGGCACCATTGGACGTCGCCGACGCTGGAGTGCTCGAATGGTCTTGCATGAGACTGTAAAAGAGTCAAAAAATGAATTCCGCTGCTTCGGTCTTAACTACATGACACTGGATCTATTGAATCTTGTCTTTCAAGGTTGTCGAACACCAGCGTCAGCAACTTGCCGCCTTTACGCTGCACCATAATTACCTTTCCGACTTCCTGCTTATAGATTATAATGTTTTCGTGCTGCTTGCGAGCCAGTGCCTTGGATTCCAGTTGAGAGTTAGCTATGAGTTTCTGAGGCTGCATTAGACCTGTTAAAGTATATCTTTAAGTTTTTGCTTTCGTCTGCGAAGTACCTCATGAGCGCTTGAGCAAGAATACTTTGTAGTTGCGGTCTGACAATCTAAGATGTCAGAATTGAATTGTTAGAGAAATCAGACCTAACAAGGGCCTTTGGAAAACTCAAACAGAAAGAAAAATCGACGCACCATTGGATCAAGTACGCGTATCTGGAAACTTTCCATCGAGGCACACGCAATGAGTCTGATGTCACGGTGTGACATCAGAGACAACGATGGCTTTTGCGACAAGGTTCGTGTTCTTGCCTGTGTCTGAATTCTTACCTCTATCTTTTTAGTGCAGCTGCTTTCAACATCAAGCCTACCACCACGTCTAGCGTGTTTGGCGCGCCGAAACAGCCCGCCACCAACGCTTTTGGAGGAGGCAACGCGTTTGGGCAATCTACGAACTCGGTTTTCGGCCAGCCAGCTCAACAAAATCAAACTCCGAGCGTGTTTGGGCAACCAGCAGCGCAAACACAACCGCAAGGTGGCTTATTCGGCCAATCTCAGGCCCAGCCACAAACGGGAGGACTGTTTGGCCAACAGCAACAACAGCAGCCAGCCACTGGAGGATTGTTTGGGCAGCCACAACAACAACAACCTGCGACTGGAGGACTTTTTGGTCAAACACAACAACAACAACAGCCAGCGACAGGGGGATTGTTCGGTCAAACGCAAACCCAACAACCTGCGGCTGGGACAGGTCTGTTTGGCCAACCTCAGCAACAACCCGCTACAACCGGCCTCTTCGGTCAATCTCAAGCGCAACAGCCCGCAACAGGCCTCTTTGGTCAATCGCAAACTGCTCAGCAACCCGCGACGGGTGGACTATTCGGAAACACTCAAACGGGGGGAGGCTTGTTTGGAAACACCCAAAATAACACGCAACAAACTGGTGGAGGGTTATTTGGTGCATCTCAGACGATCCAACAACCTGCAACCGGAGGTTTATTTGGTGGTGCTGGTGCCTCAGCATTTGGTGCTCCCAAACCAGCTGGATCGACTTTGTTTGGAGGTGGTGCGACACAACAACCTCAGCAGCAGGCTTCTACTTTATTTGGCGGAGCCTCGACGACGACCAATCCGCTGTTCGGTGGCACGGCATCGACAACTACCAACCCATTGTTCGGAGGTTCTTCCAACACGTTGTTTGGCGCGAAACCCGCACAACCTCAGCCGTATGTGTTCCCATTTTGGAATGGCCTACTATTGCTCAACTTAGTTTCAAGATCACAAGGCGCTCCTCCGTTCACAAAGTCAACCAAGTTCAACGACCTTCCAGATAACATCAAGAAGACTTTTGAGGAGATCGAGTCAGTGATCGATTTACTTTTATCTAATTTTTTTGAATCAACCGCGCAGCACACATATCCAAAGCCGCATTCAGATTAGCAAAGGCTTGCACGAACGCAAATTGGGGGAAGAGGCGACGAAAGGACGCGACTTGATTCGTGTGGTTCATACGGAAATCATCAACACGGCCACAGCTATCCATAACGACTTCACCTTTGTGCGAGATCTGCGGAACAAAACAGACACCGCAGTAGAGGACACCATTGTCGCAACGCGTATAATCGACGGCTACAGAAATCCACATGCGAATATGGCCTATCTCAAAGACCACGCTGGCTTCCCGCTAGAGTTCTTTACACGCGTAACCGAGCAAATGCGCCAACGGCTGGCATGGTACAAGTCCACCATCGAGGTTCGTCCATTATCACTGTTTGCGTGATTCTTATGACTATTATCGTCAAGCAAATCGAACGCAAGCTCTCCTCGTCAGCTGGCCAGGCCCAAACCCCGCAATGTGGGCTTCTTTGCCTCTTCTTCTTACAACAACTAACACGTCTTTATAGCAATTCATGCCACACTGCAAGCTCAGAACGCGACATTCCTCGCGTTGGCAGCCAAAACGGCAGCTTTGGATGCTCAGTTGCAGAAAATAAAACAGCTGTATGCTCAATTGTTGCGGTCTCGGACTGGGAGCAACCGAGACCCATTTGAAGGCGATGCGGGCGACGGACCAGACTTGGGATTGGGGTCATTGAGAATGTAATCCTACCTTGTACACTAGAGTGTTTGCCATCATGCATCACCATTGACACCCACGGCTGTTGTTTCCTGACCATGAACACTTCCCACGAAATCGAGCTATGGAGCGCGACCTGAGGACTATTCCTCTTTCAGAGCTTTACGAAGTGCTCGCATCTGGCCCAAATGGTTTGACCACGAAAGAATCACAGCGTCGGCAAAATCCCATTCAACGACAACAATGGTCACCAGTGCGTTTCCTCCCTCCAACAAAACCTTTGGAGCTCATGGATTACCTAGCTCAGACCTCTATTCGAGCCACTAAGCCTTGTTTATGCTATTCTGGCGGTCGTGCTTCTAGCAGTAGCACCAGCTAACTGGCCTACTTCCATGGGTATAGCCCTACTCGTCCTCGCAAACACCACAATCCGGCTTACCGTCGAACACCGCGCTCTCCTCTCACAACTTAAACTCGGCGCTCGGTTCGACATTTCCGCCAAACAGGTCCAGACGAAGAGAGATGGGGTGTGGGTTGGCATTCCTGCTGCAGAACTCGTGCAGGGCGATGTGATTGAGCTCACGGAAGGGTCTTTCGTCCCTGCTGATTGTCGTTTGGCTGCTCGTGGACGGTCGTTCAGTCTGAGTGGAGAGCATTACAACCAGACTCAGGTCGGAGACGTTTGCTCACTGTGCGTTATGATTCTTTTGTCAACTGAGACTGAATTTTGCGTCAGTGAGAGTCAAGTCACAGGTGGTACTGGTGAAGCCATTGTTTTTGCGACCAGAAGCATAGTCGATGCGCTCCGCTTGGACGAGCCCGCAAACAATGGGAAATTTGCACTCATACTATGTTTTGTCCTCGTCGTCGCCGTTATTGAGGCCACTATAATCTACGTGCGGTTCGGCTACTCCCACCAACATGGAATCGCTACTCTTCTTGCGTTACTGGTTGGCAGCACACCAATTGCCATACCCACCTCGATCTCTATTATCCGCTCTTCAACAGCAAACGAACTTGTTGCCCAAGAAGTTTATGCCACGCACACCAATGCTTTGGGAGATCTTCCCAGTGCAACACACCTAGTCATTAACACGTCTGCCCTCATCGAGCCCCGACCGGTGCTCGGTGATGTCGCGACTTATGGGCCGTTCACGACCAACGAAGTCAAGCTTTTTACTCGATACATCAACACTAAACCTTCCGACTCTGCGCTTGAACATGAAGAATACTTCTCTTACGGCGCTCCCTTGATTGGCCATCCGGATATCGAAATTCTTCATTTCCGCCCGCTCGATGTCGTGCGTGGTCTTTTGGAGTTGACTTTCCGCACCAAGAGCGAACGCAGAGTGAAGCGGCTGTCTCTAGGTTTGGTCGGACATGTTATTGAGGCATGTGAGCGAAATCGGACGGAATTATTGGAGGAACAACTGGAGCGAGACGTGGATGCATTCGCGATGGCGGGAATGACCACAAGAGGGCTCATGTACGAAGAGCTGGGAGAGCAATATGACGACGTCGAGGCTAAAGACACGAATTGGGAGGATATTCGTGGAAATGGGTTCGAACTCATTGGGGTGCTTGCGTTCGTAAACCCACTGAAAGTGGGGTCACAAGAAGCTGTTGCCCAACTCATCGCACAAGGAATCAAGCTCAAGCTCGTCGCATCCTATCAATTGTCGATGATGAAGTTGAAATGGGTTGGGAGGAGTGTCGGCCTTGGCGAGAAGATGTTTCATTCCAGGATTTTTCGGAATGAGATGATGGGCGACTATCCAACGCTTGACACGCTTCTTCGAGACGCTAATGGTTTCGCAGGGTAAGGTTAATCTATCATTGCATTCAAACTTACCTCAAGTTCAGAATGACCAATGCAGAGGTTCAGCACCTTGTTGACCATCTTGGCCATACGTGTGCTTATATTGGTACGGGTTCTTTCTGACTGCTCAGCCAACTGCCCTCATTTATCTCTCTAGGCAGAGATGTACATGGTCTCGTACCACTTGCAATGGGCAAACTTTCCGCCGAACACGTGACACGATTCCCCAGCGATCTTTTAGCGCATGATCCCTCCCCTGCTCAAATATGCATCTGTAATCCAACTCGCACGCCAAACGTCCACGCGTTGGAAACAAGCGATGGTCTACATTTGCGCCTCAACTGTTTATATCATGCTGTGTTTCACGGTCCTCACGATTGTCCACCAGTCAATCTTTACGCCATTTGCAATGCTGCTTGTGGCCGCCAATGTCAATATGCTCGCATTGGGGTTGGCTGCCGGGTGGGCGCCACAGAGGGAAATAACGAAGCCCTCAAACAACAGTCATGCAAGGTATTTAGCATTGGGAGTGAGTTATGGCGTGTATTCTGCTCTGTCCACGTATGGTCTCCCTTCAAATTTTGCGACGCTTTGAATTGTAACTGCTTGACAGAGTGGTTTTTGTTGTGGTGATCCACAAGAGGCGTTCCGTTTCCCAAATGGTGGACCTGGTCACCCCAGGGCAGCTTGATACCCTTTTGTACCTTCAATCATCCCAGATGGTCAACCTCATTGCTTTGGTTATCTCCTTCAACACACAATTCTTCAAGTTCAAAGCCAAGCTTGCGCGATCACTAGGATTCGTCTCGATCGTCGGCGTCGGTCTTTCGGTGTCTTCCCTTCTCTCTGCGTATATGAACTGGTCTTTGGTGGGGCTCAACTCGGTTGGAACAAGCGCCATTGGGTTCATTTGGATTTGGGTCAGTAGTCCGTTGCTAAAAACTACCATCACATTGACTGGTTGTGACAGAATCTTGGCTGGACATCTGTGCTGGCGCTGTTGAGGTTCACTATAGTCAGAACCATTCAGCTTTGCAGTAGGCATCAGGTCACAATCAGATAACCGATACTGGCTCTTTCGATATTGAACACTATCTCACTGCCGATGGACCGGCGATGGTACTTACCAAGCCATAACTTGACACGTCAGACAAATGCAAGTCTAAGGCAGTGCCGAGCCGGCTGAGACACTCCATTTTACTGAGCTCGAAGCCCTCATAGTTACAAGTCGCCGTTCCTAAAATCGCGCTGCGTCACTGTCAAGTGATCGTGATGTATCACTGTGACAGATATAAAACTCCTACCACCACCCCCACACTCGGCCTCACTGGTAAATCTCAACACTTGACGCATGTCAGTGATTCAGTCTTTTCCAGGGGAGTAATTGAGGTGAGCAGTTACCCACAAGATACCGGACCAGTGCTCACTTACGCCGCTTCAAGCGTTTACCTGGTCCTGACGAAGACTTTGATGACGTTGTGAACGCGGCCGGCGTCCCGCTTGTATCAAAACCTCATCCTATAGCCCAGCTCGCTCGCCTATTGGATTCTCATCATGCGCTTCTCCGGGATGGGGCCTGAACCTTTTCATCTCCATGCTGTCGGCCACGAGATCGCCTTCGAGACACTCCTCGCAGCTAAAATTTCTCGGAACGAGACAAGACAAGACAAGACAAGATAGATAGATTTATAACGCCCTTGACGGACCCTCGTACCTACATGCTACGAGCTATGTACACGCGACTACTGTTGTGAACGGTAAAATCCGCCTCGCAGCGCCGAAATGCACACGGGAAAACAAAAACTTTCTACACTATAAGCTGCCATTAGCGTGCAAGCCGTCTGGTACGTACATTGGAACACAGTCCACCCTTGACAAAGCCTCATGGACGAATTTTGCGAAGTGACGAATAGTTGATCTTGCCGCCAGCACCTTGCGCAAGAAATCCACCCCACCCAAATCACGACGCGCATCCCGCAGGCTAGGCTCCAGTCTGAATAAGTCCATAAAGAATTGTGACCGCAACTCCAGGAGAATTGGATCGTCTTCGCAGTCCAGCAGCACATGCTCCTCGTCCTCCACGAACTCTCCGCACAAACGACAAAGTCGCTGTTCGCGCGGAACCACACCTCGAGAGCGAGTGACATAGCGCAAAATCTCCACACTGAGTTTGTGGTTGGTGAAAAGCAAGCGCGTCAGAGACTTCCTGTGTTCCGGGATCTCAACCAGCGTCAAGTAATGGCGGCAACGGCGAGCGACGGGTTCCCAGCTGCCAGTCTCTCCTCGTTCTAACCGATTTCGCAGGAGGAAACCCTTGGTACTGCCCTCCACAAGTATTTTATTCTCGAGCTCGACTTCAAGCAAATTCCCCGCGAATTCGACTTTCGCACGGAACTGGCTGATTATCTGACCGCACGGTGCAAATAAATGATCTTGAAATGTGATCTTGATAAGCATTTTCTCCCTCCAGAACCCACGGACATACCTTCCGAGCAGTCTTTTGGGTACATTACACTACTTGCGGTTCGTAGAAGTACATTGCCGGCGTTTTTATACTCATATTAGCAGCTTTGCATCCAGGGAAGTCTCGCAGGACCCACTCTTCGTCATCATCAAGAATTTCGACTCGCCCATCAACGACGACATCGACGGTCGTCAGGTTCTGAATCCCTCATGTCGACTTGGAACGATGGCACAGTCTATTCGTGCCAAGGGCGAGGGGCTTTTACGGCGATGCCAAAATACTTACCCCTCCTACCCCCCTCTCAACCTACCAAGAACTCTGGATATTACCCACAATCCGGCATTTCATGCGGTCGCTGGTTCACTCGGCGTGAAATAGACTCGCTCGACAATGCGTTCACACATATTCCTCACAAGGAGTCGACACCGCTGATTGAAATCATTTCTGAGAGGGCAGGGTGGCTATCAGTGTTCAGCGACCATCTTCCCATGAGGCAATATTATTCGGGAAATACTGGTGCTACAGAATGGAATGTGTATTCTGTCTGAACTGGGTTGAATCCGCGTGTAATAACGACACTTCCGAGCGAAAATACAGCAATTGCACGTATTTCATGACCTTTTTGGCCTGTTTCTACGTCTCTGCGTTCCAGTCGATCTTTGCTCCCGTTCGTCCCTTTAGACATGGCTCTTGGGTACTCCCAGCATTGCTCCGCAAGCCTGTAAATGAGGCTTTCAACTGACCTGCGGAAGCGTGCGTTGGATTTTTCTTCGACACGATAGTGAATGTGGAGATCGCTGAATTTCAGCTGTTGGCCTGGTTTGACGTTGCTCTTTCCGTCCCATTCCGTATGATCCATCTCCTTGATTTTGTCCCTCAGCCTCTTCCCAGCTAGTGATCTGGCATATTGCAGCGTATCGTTGACCCACTTGACAATATGGGTCTCGTTATTGAGGAGGAAAGTATCGAATTCCTTGAGTATCTGGTTGATCTCGGTGTCTTTCTTTCCTTTGAATACTTCGATCCCGTAGGTACCTTCGTATAGCTGTCGAAGGCGAGCGATCTTGAACTCGAACAGATGGAGTGTGTATGAGGCCCGCTCGTGAGAGAAGCTAATGAAGCGCGTGTCCGGAAATGAGAGCCCGTCTATGCGCCACGGCTCAACGTGTTCAGGCGGGTCCGAGGAGTACCAGAACCTGACTTCTTGGATCGGAGCCACAAAGCCAGGTGGCGCGACTTTGGGATCATATCCGACAATGTCTTTCATCACTGTCTGTTGAATAGACCGCTCGTAGAACTCGACGATTTCCGTTATGTCGAGTGTTGCCAAGTGCCTTTGAAGGCATGCCTTGACCCATGAGGCAACCGTCACCCCCTGTTTGGCTCCATTTTCGATGTCGTGAATGGAATGCATGTAGCCATCCCGATCATACTTGAATACCACCGAGTTCCTAGCCTAACAAACAACAAGTTCTCAGTATCAGAAGAAAATACGAGAGCGGAATACATACTTCTTGCTGCATATGTGTATTCACAAACCGTATGACTACTTTCCGACTGCTCTCCGAGAAGAAGAGATCAATAATGCCCATCGCTCTCATGAATCGGAAAAGCAGGAGGGGCGGGATAATTGGAACTGGGTCAGAGGGCAGGAAAAAGAGACAACTTTTGACGATTTGACCAGCGTTAGCATCAAACGCGAGGAACGGCAGGGAGGTAAATTTGTTGTTTGGCAAAACCTCGTTGTTATGGTACAGCAAGGTGGCGAGTAAGGCGCGATCGTCGCGCTCTGCAGCATGAGCAATCACGGAGACACTGTCCCATTGCCACTTGTTAATAGTGGGGAAGCATTTGAGATCGGCAAGGGTTTGCTGGATTGTAGGCTCCAAGCCAGTTTCCAAAGCTTGCAGTACCTCTATCACTCGTCCATAGGGATAAAAGGATGGTCTTGTCCGCGTACTTGTCGTATCATCCACGCCGTACGTGACGCGGCATCGCTGTTCCAGGGTTTCCCTCGCCTTTCTTTGAATTTCCGCTGTTGCACCTTGAGCGTATTCCTTTAGGAGAATGTTGACCTGATTTTGGTCGAAGCCCCAGTGTCGCATAATCTTGGGGTGGTAGAGGAGGTTAGTTGGTCGATGAGCGAATACACCCTCGTAAGCGAGAAAATTTGCGGCGGGAAACGGCGCCACGCTCAAAACGACATGTTTTTGGTGCCTTTCCAATACCTGGGCTAGGTCATGATAGCGTCGCTCCCCTAGCTCGAAAACATGGGCTCTCCCCTGAAAAGCTGCAGGGTGCAGGATGACAGCAAAAAATAAGGTATGTCCGTTCTTGTCCATGGTCGTCTGTCGTCAGATTATTGAAAAATGTTGGTAAAAAAAAACGAATTGAGCGCACAAGGATCGAATCGAGAAATTCAGCTGCCATATTTGCGGTTATCTCATACTGTTCCCCCGTTTGGAGCTTGTATGCGAGCCAAAATGAAGCCATAACATTGAGTGGGTAGCCACTTCCCAAACGTCCAACCTCATCGATATCGAGCAATAGTGTGAACATCGTTTCAGGTCGCTTTGTGTTAGAGTATCCGAAATCGGCGTTCCATGCGGTTTCATCTCCAATCGAAGGGTCGGATACCACAGTAATCGCGCTGACGACGTACGACGCGACTTCTGCACAAGCAGGATGGTCGATATAGGCTCTTGTTGAACCATCAAACTCATTGAAAGCGGCCGCTCGAAGATCTTGTGCTGCTGAAGTCAGGTCGTTGAAAACAGTGTCCAACAGGCTAGCGTCGCCCTTTGCCATAAATTCCTTGTGATGTGCCTGCACTGACGGTGTTAGATGAACTACGCCGGAGCACTTGGAGACTGACCGCTCGAGCATCTTTCACCCGCCATACCCTAGATTGTAGGTCACCCACTGCCTCGAGACTGGGATGTTTGTCGAATCCAAGTGCTACATCTTCCACACCCTCGACCGACTTCGAACGACGTCGCTTTGCTGTTCGCTCTCCAACGGACGTAGTGCTTTGGTATTGATGCTCCGCAGGCCTCTTGAGAGGTTGAACGGCTGGAGGTGGCAGATCAATCAGTAAATGCACGATATTCTCGCCGTCCTTGGTACGGTCCAGCAGCTGCGGTTCGAGAAAAATGGGATCCCAAAGGCTGATCTCATTGGAGGTGCGACTCAGAAGTCTACTACCATCAAGGCCTCTGGATATCATGCTGGCATCATCCAAACGGCGTGGCGAGTACAACATGGCGGAATACATGGTCTTCGAGCTGTCCAGTAATGCGACGCATATTCCGCGACAATTCAGTCTATGATTCGCAGCGACGAGTTGATACAGGACTTCCGGTGTTACCACCGCCTCGTCGTCTTTCGTACCCCAGTCTGTTGCCAGTGCAATGATATCTTGGGATTTGACGAGAGAACAATCAGGTGGCAGTGTCTGCCCACGCACATAGGCAAAGAAAAAGCGTCGGGGATTCATGATTTGTGGATTGACATCATCAGAAACGGTGAGCGGTGCAGGTTCCCCGCTTCTGGTGCTCTCTGGTTGAGTACTGTGCGGAAATTCGTCGATGACCACGAGTAAATGCACGATATGATGATCTTCAGTAGTATTCAATGGCGAAGGAGGCACACGTATTTCTTCATCTCTGCCGATGGAATTTTCATGACGGGCTTCCAGATTCAGTGGGTTCTTCGCGGATGGTGAGGTTGGTGCTGTCATGTAGGGATCGGTTGGGGTTTTGGGCGAGTAGTATTGAGCTGAAGATAGAGTCGATTCCAAGAAGGTTGTGCAATCTTCCGTGCAGCCGAGCATGGTGTGGAGGGCGTGCAGAGCGATGAGAAACTTTTGTGGTGTTGGCGCGTTTATTTTCTAGAGTTCCAAGTCGACCTTCGGATGCCAATATAGTTGAAACTTGGGGATTTGTGGGGGACCAAAGGCAGCAGGATTCATCAGCACCTGAGACATAAATGCGGTAGACGTCGTTGGCCACCTCAGTCATGGTGGAAAGAAAGTAAGATCAATCGAAGCGAAGAAAGATTGGCATGACCATATGGGGAATGAAGAAAACATCACGTGTGCCACACCCACTTTCCTCTCATCCATGAAGACGTTTGCTATCGACCAGTTTTCACTCGCCATTCCGCCGAGCTGCAAGGAGACACCAAGCTCGGACGGATCATCGGATGGAAGTGAATATGTTTCCAACTCTCAAGACTCGCCCACGAGTCCATCCGTTCCATCGGCCCAGCAAGTCCCCGATTCCAACTGCCTAGCCCACATTTGTGGCACAGTGTATACCAGAGGAGCGACCTGTCAAGTGCGTCATTCGTAGCCAAATCAACGGCCACTGACCTAGGACCTAGCGTTTGCCTAATCCACATGAGGATTTCGACGACATAGTCAATTCCAAAGGGGCTCCACTCGTCTTCAAACGCCATGTTCTTACGCAACTTGCGTGTTTACTTAGCTCTCATCATGCTCTTGTGTTTCGTCGACCACCGGGATGGGGAATTGACTTCTTCGCGTCGATGGTATCCGCCACATTCGATAGAGACTATGATCATAAGGACGATCCCTTTGAAGTCTTGATTGGACAGCAGGGCTTGACCTCAGGACGGGACGATGGCCACCATAGCTTCTTTGTGTTGGACATGGACTTCAGGGACCTTCCTGATGAGGCGGACATCCGTACCAATCTCCACGCATATCTCGAGACGCAGTGTTGGGAGTTCATCACCCGTTACCGTCTCGAAAAGCGTATGGCTCCGCCTAGCCTCTACAAAGTCTCGAAAGATGAGCCAGAAAGGTTCATCATTCTCTTGGCGGTGTGTATTACTCTTCAATTCCCTCCATGCTCTCATGTCTACACTCTGAATCTCTAGATGTGCCTCCTACGTGTATCGAGGGCTCCACTGTTGGTGATTATCAGAAACTTTGACAGCCCAATAATCAACTATGGGGAGGGTCGGGCGGTTCTGAATCCATTCCTGAACGCACTAGAAGGAGAAGTGAGGTCTCGAATAGTTGGGTCGCTGCTGCTGCTATCCACCTACGATGATGGCACGGTATACTCTTGCATGGGTCGAAATGCGTTGTCCATGATCCGCAAAGTGCCAAGCCTCCCACCTCCCGATCTTCCCCGTACCCTCGACCTGACTCATCACCTTGCGTTCCAGACCGCGGTTGGTTTTACGCGCAAGGAGATCGACTCCCTCGATGACGCCTTCAGCCACCTCGCGGTGCATGATGCCCGGCGTATAGTCGATATGTTGGACGCCGGTTACGCCCGACGTTCTTCATTCGGGGATCGTCTGAATGTGGCAGGGAAGCATCAATGCCCACGCCACCCGCTCGACAGCCCGTTCTTCCAAGAAGAAGACCCATTAGCAGCACTGGACACCACTGGCGGGCTTGAAGGAGTTTATGGAGCACACCTCGTGCTGAGATTGATTGCCCACAAGTATGGCCTTCCCAATAACCATGGACGCTATCCGTGATATTTTACTCGTTTACTCTTACCATCGTGAACAATCGTAAATGCGCTGTCATACCCAGATGTTAGTGTGACTTGTGGGTCCCTTTCGAACGATGTAAAACTTCTGCCACCATCACCCCACACCCGCTATAATACACAATCGCGTCGCCACAGGCTCAGATGGCAGCTACGTCCACAACGTCCAGCTCGGAAGCTCCGGCAATGAGTCACGTTGCCACGAAGGAACTCGAAAGGCCCGAATCTCAACGTTTAACGCATATTAGTGGCTCAGTCTTCTCCAAAGGACCAACGGAGTCATTCAGGTCACTCTTGATATACACACGACTAAGCTAAAGCTAACTTACGCCTCTTGCAGCGTTTACCTTGTCCTGACGAAGACTTCGACAGCATTGTGAACGCAATTGGCGTTCCAATCGTTTTCAACCCCCATCCTATCACCCAGTTCGTTCGCCTGTTGGACTCCCATCATGTACTCCTTGTTCGCCGGCCTCCAGGATGGGGCCTGAACTTCTTTGTTTCCATGCTGACCGCCTACCTTGATATAGACTACAATGAGGACGACGATCCCTTCGAAATACTCCTCCCATCTGAGCCCTCGGTGCCTCGCAATGGCCTTCATCACTACTTTATTCTGCATCTGGACTTCGAGCGAATTCCCTGCCAATCCGACTTTCGCATGGAGCTGCATCGTTACTTGGCCACACAGTGCAAAGCAATGGTCGCGAGGTATAATCTCGACAAGGACTTTATCGCGCCAAGCACCAAAGACATATCATATCTTCCGACAAGCCTTTTGGCTTCCTCACACTACTCGCGGTGCGTAAAAGTACATTGCCGGCGTTTTTATACTCATATTAGCAGCTTTGCATCCAGGAAGTCTCGCAAGACCCACTCTTCGTTATCATCAAGAATTTCGACTCGCCCATCAACGACTACATCGACGGTCGTCAGGTTCTGAATCCCTTCCTGAACGAGCTGGAGCGTGAAGTGCGGAACAATGCCATTGGTGGTCTCCTCCTCGTGTCGACTTGGAACGATGGCACAGTCTATCCGTGCCAAGGGCGAGGTGCTTTTACGGCGATGCCAAAATACCCCTCCTACCCCCCTCTCAACCTACCAAGAACGCTCGATATTACCCACAATCCGGCATTTCATGCGGTCGCTGGGTTCACTCGGCGTGAAATAGAGTCGCTCGACAATGTGTTCAAACATATTCCTCACAAGGAGTCGACACCGCTGATGGAAATCGTCTCTCAGAGGGCAGGGTGGCTGTCAGTGTTCAGCGACCATCTTTCCATGAGGCATAAATGCCCCCCCGTCCTGATCGAATATGGGAGGATGAGGATCCGTTCGAAACCCTAGACCATACGGGAGGATATGTTGGCTTGTATTCTGCAAGGGTCGTTATGACGGCCCTTGCACGCAAGTACGGATTCCCTCGTCGCGGAAGTTGATGCTGTGACCTACTCTTGTGTTATTTTGTTGCTTTGGATCTGTTTCCGTTATGTACTTGCGAAACTTCATGCATCGTCAGAGATTGGTTTCAGTTTGTGAAGGTCGACCAAACGAATGGATCATGATGACGTAATCACAATGTCCTCTTGCCCCCATGTCAACCACTTCATTGTCTTTCCTCTGTTTGGCGCTTGGTCGACCATAATCACCTTCAAAGTCCTCAGATGGAAGCGACTGACAGTCCCGCCTCCTCTCCTGCCAAACGCGAACATGTCAGCCAAATTTGTGGGTCAATTTTCTCCAAGGGAGGGACCATTCAAGTACATTTCCATCCTTTGTTATACATCATGTTTGTTAACGAGCTCACCCAGCGACTGCCACGGTCTCAAGAAGAGTTCGATGATATTGTGAATGCGACTGGTGTTCCGCACGTCTTTAAACTCCACGACCTGACACAACTCGCCCGGTTACTCGACTGCCGCCATGCCCTGTTGATACGTCGTCCACCGGGATGGGGGCTCGACTTATTCGCGTCTATGGTTTCAGCTGCATTCGACCAGGATTATAATCTACGCGATGACCCATTCAAAGTCTTACTCGGGGAAGAGCTGGACTCAATACCGTGGAACCACCACCTCCACGACTTTTTTGTTTTGGACTTGGACTTCAGTCGCCTCCCTGCGAGGGAAGATTTTCGGACTGAATTCCAAGTATATCTTGAGAAGAAGTGTCAAGAGATGCTTTATCGTTATCGGCTTGAAAAGCGCGTTGCCTTACCAGGCATCCATGAGGTCTCGAAGGATGAACCAGAAGAATTTATTTCGTCACTCGCAGTGCGTCACTTTTTGTTTTCAATGCGTCCATCCTGATCACCTCTGTAGTATGCTCTTCAGCTTCTCTTTTCCGGACCACTGCTTGTCATTATCAGGAATTTCGACAGCCCAACGACCAACTATCCAGACGGTTATGAAGTCTTGAATCCCTTCCTGAACCGACTACAATGTGAAGTCAAGACTGAGCTAATAGGCTCTCTACTCCTCCTCTCCAGCTGGGACGATGGCTCGGTATATAGCTGTATGGGCCGGCCTCCATTATCCTTGATCAAACGGCGCAAACCTGGCCTCCAACCTCTTGATCTCCCTTATACCCTCGACCTGACTCATGACCCTGTTTTCCAAACGGCCATTGGTATATCACGACAAGAGGTCAACGCTCTCGACGAAGCATTTGGCCACCTCAAACCCTGTGATTCCACGCATATACTCAAAATGATGGACAAGCATGGCACGACTTCTGTGTTCGCCGATATTTTGCCTCGGACACATCAATGCCCGCCACTCGACGAAGACGGAGGTTGGTTGGCGAGTGAGGTAGATCCGTTGGCAGAATTGGATCGTTCTCGGGAGCATGAGGGTACCTATCCAGCGCAGTTTGTGATGAAAGTCTTTGCTCTCAAATACGGTTTGGCCAGTGACCACGGATCTCTCTAGTACTAACACCTAGCTATGTACTAGTAGTCCTTGCTGACACTTGATGTACTTGATTTTACTGAAGTTGAATCAACTTGAAAGCGGAATCGTGAAGCACATTCGTTGCTTAGCACTTCAGTGACCACTGAAGCGTAAGTGCGGCCGGATTCCACCCAGATCGTCAAAGCAATCGCGGTCAGTCACAGTCAGGTGATCATCACTGTTGCGTCACGATGCATGCGATGTACAAGTACTAGCTAGTATCTCTGCCACCTGTGTTTTCTACTGTATCCTTTTCTCTCGGAGACCAACCACCATAAGTATGCTCGACTGTGCTCAATCTTTAGCTTAGATAATAACGTAACACTGGCTGGTCACAATTGGTTACTTGTTTCAGCTTGTTTCTTCCTGTGAAGTCGCAACACATCCGTTCCTTATGGAAAGCTCCCCACCATCCAGTTTGCATTCAAAGTCGCTGCATCGTCTGAACAAAACTGTCTTCACGCGCGGAGATGCTCTTGAGGTAAGCACTTCTTTTCCTTCTCTTGAGTAGGTGGCAATTGAAAACTTTTCTAGCGCTTGCCAGGCCCAGACGAAGAATTTGACGATGTCGTCAATGCAACCGGTGTACCGCTCGTCTTCAAGCGCCATGCTCTCACGCAATTCGCTCGTTTGCTTGACTGCCACCATGCGCTTATGTTTCGCCGACCTCCAGGCTGGGGACTGAACTTTTTCGCTTCTATGGTCTCGGCTACATTCGACAGAGACTATGATCATAAAGATGATCCGTTTCAGGTTTTAGTTGGAGAAGAGTGGGACCGTCATTTGCATCGCCATTTTGTGCTGGACCTCGACTTCACGCGTCTTCCCTGTGTGGCGGACTTTCACACGGAGTTTCATGCGTATCTGAAGAAGGAGTGTCGGGACTTAGTCTCTCGATACCGTCTCGAGAAGCAGATTGGCTCACCAAGTCTCTATCGAGTTCCTCAAGAAAAACCGGAAAAGTACATCTCTCTTCTTGCGGTATGTGTTGAGAGGGGTTGGGTTCCGTCTATGTCACGCCTCTGATCCTCAATTTTCAGATGGCTCTCAGGCATGTGTCGTACGATCCACTACTGGTGATAGTCAGGAATTTTGATGTCCCAACATTCAACTATCCGCGTGGTCGAGCAGCTCTAAATCAATTTCTGAATGTGCTGGAAGAGAAGGTAACGACCAAAATTGTTGGGTCGCTCTTCCTTCTTTCAAACTACGACGATGGAACGGTGTACTCTTGCATGGGTCGAAATCCATTGGCCATGATTCGCAAGGTACCAAGCCTCCCGCCCCTCGATCTTCCCCGCACCCTTGACCTCACCCACAATCTCGCCTTCCAAACTGCTGTTGGGTTTACGCGCCCAGAAATCGACGCCCTCGATGATGCCTTCAGTCACCTCGAGGCCCAGGATGCCAGGCGTGTCCTCGATATGATGGACGAGGATTATGGACGACGTTCTGTATTCAGCGACCGTCTAGCTCGCAAGCATCAATGTCCACCTGACCCAGTCAAAGAGGCTTGGCATTATCGGGAAGAAGACCCATTAGCAGGACTGGACACCTCCAAGGCGTTTGAAGGCATTTACGGAGCCCAACTAATAATGAAAGTGCTTGCCCGCAAGTACGGTTTTCCCAACATCTATGGACGTTTATAGTGCTATCCATACTATTTTCGTTGTATTACTCTCTTGTCACAGCTCGTGATACGTAACTCGGACAACTCCTATGGACACACTCTCATCGAATCCGTCTTGAAAGTCCCAGGTCATGGACGGTGAACCGGAAACTACCCAACAGAACCCACCTTCGCTGTGCTCCATCAACGAAATAATATTTACTCGTGGAGAGGCCCTCAAGGTGCGTCTTTTATGCAGGTGGCATTTAGGCTTGAACATCGTTCCAGCGCCTACCTCACCAAGAAGAAGGATTCGATGATATTGTGAACTCTTCGGGCATTCCGCTCGTGTTCAAGCCTTACGCTCTCACTCAATTCGCTCGGCTGATCAATTGCGGCCACATGCTTTTGTTGCGTCGACCGCCCGGGTGGGGGCTCAACCACCTTGCCTCTATGATCTCAGCCACATTTGACAACGACTTCAATGATGATGACGACCCATTCAAGGTTTTGCTCAAAGCAGAACCACCAGACTCAGACCTGCGGCGCCGCCTTCACGGTTTCTATGTGCTGGACCTAGATTTCAACCGTCTTCCCCGTGTAACCGACCTAGCCAACGAGCTGCGCCACTATCTCGCCGCTGAATGTCGGGAATTTATTTCTAGGTATCGCCTTGGCAAGCACTTTGGCTCACCAGGACCCAAAGAACTTCCCCCTGACCATTCTGACCTTTACATAACTGTCCTCGCCGTTCGTTGAATTTCTACTCTCCTCGCTTTGGGGATTCATGTCTTCCAGGGCTGTCTCAAAGAGGTTTCGGGTGATCCACTGCTCGTTATCATCCAGAATTTTGATACCCCAACGAGGAGCTTTCCAAATGGTCGCACCGTCATAAATCCTTTCCTCAACGCCCTTGAGGAGGAAGTCTCGCGCAATATGATTGGTGCTGTGCTCCTCACATCAAGTTGGGATGATGGGACTATCTTGTCCTGCATAGGCCGACCTCCATTGGGCACCATAACCAAGCTTCCTTCCTCTCCTCCACTCGATCTACCGCGTACGCTGGATATCAGTCATCACCCCGCTTTCCAAACGGCGGCTGGTTTCACGCGAGAAGAGGTGGCTGCTCTTGATGCAGCTTTCAGTCATATCAAGCCCCAGCTTGCTGAACGCATCATCGACATCATGGACCAAAGAGGTTATAAGCGGTCTGTGTTCAGCGACTATGTCCCCAAGCATAAATGTCCTCCGCATCCACTCAGATGGGAGACCCGACCTGAAGCCGACCCTTTTGCGACGTTGGACCATTCTCAAGAGTACCGTGGTGTTTACTCTGCGCAGCTAGTGATGAAGGTGTTTGCCCTCAAATACGGTTTCTCTAGACGCGGTAGTTTGTAATGAGATTCCATCGTTTTGCTTTGTGTTCGCTGTGTCTGTACTCCCGTGTAATCCAAAGAGGCGCCTCCAAAGGAGAATTGCGGAAGGAGTTAATGGAGAAATAGTGTTGGCGCCGTTGGTAATCCCCCTTGACCGTCACGTACGATTCCAACCGAGTATTTGAACAGACAGGTAGGATAGACAGAGTACACTTCATGATTCAAGACTATACGTGTTCTTCTCCAACTTGCAAAGTAGTCAGCGACCGCGTCAGCCAAAAATCGAGATAGCACACCTCGACCTCTAGCTCCCTGCGCACCCGGTACTCGTCGTCCGCCTTTATTACAACGTGGTAGTCGTCCAGGTCCTCGATGACAAAGTTTTCTCTTTCGTTCAGCGCCATTAGGATCTCTTTCACCGCTGGGTCGCTGTGGGCAACGTCAGGCCACTGAACAGAGTGTACTGAGTGGGACCGACCAAGTAAGAAGGACGCCTAGATTAGCGCAAGTGAGCCGCAAGCAGCCCCAGAAGCAAGGTGAACGCACTCTTGATGGCTCGCATGGGAGTTGGAAGCAAAGGCAAATCGCGGTCACGTGCAATTCGATGACTCAATGTCTACGGTGTACAAATCCTCGCGCCAGCCCGGAAAGCGATCTACCAGTACAACTTGTCTCGGCTCGCCTTCTCTTCCTACCCGCTGACTTGTCAGCACCCTCAACAGCAAGCCACCATCAGCGAGTGCCACGAAACCATTCGTAGCCTCTGCGGACAGCCTCCGAGGGCTGTAGGGCCCTATGTGCCACCGTCTTGGATATAAAGCCAGTTTACACGCCTCCAGATGTGGCACCCGTCGAATCAAAAGGTTTAATACACCAAGATAATGATCACCACCAACGCCCATCCAATCTTCGACCTCGAGGTACCTCAACTTGGGCAGTACAAGTTCAGACTCCAGCATGGCGATGTACTGAGAAAAAGGGTTGGGGAACGCCAGTCGCAAATGCTCCACAGACATTGTAGCATTCAGGATATTCGCAAACGCGTTCTGGCCCATCGTGTTGACCGACAGGTATAGATAGCGCAGTTGACAGGCGGAACGAGCGAGGAAGGCTGGAAGAAACTCGTCGGTGCTAATGTTTTCTACGACACCACCAGCGGGCCGCATATCGAGTCTCTTCAGTGCGGGAAGGGTAAGATACGGCAGCAGCCATTCGTTCTTTGTCTCCAAAGAGCGCAAGACCTCGTGTTTATATGGATTAGGATGCTCCATAACCAGTTGCGCGTCCATTATGGGGGAATCGTGTGAGAGATGAAGAAGACCAGGACAGGCGCGGAGCAAGTCGACGGTGGATGACGGCGTAGCGGAGCCATATATATGCAAACTCGCGAGTTGTGTCCACGGTAAAGAGTACCTTCGCCCGTGACCTTGGTTGAGGGACACAGAGGCGAGTGACGGTGCTTGGGAAACGTTGATAATGGTGTCTGTATCTTGCCATGTCGACCCGTTCGGCCAGAGCTCGAGTTTTCGCAGGCCCGGAAAGGAGATAGCATCGTCACCGAGCTCGAGATATGTCCAATAGGGCAGACTAAGAGTCGCTTCTCTCCAGCGACTCCGATGCGCCACTGCCGCCTCCAGAAACGTGGATGCACGAAACGGCCGACTGGTGTGGAGGCACAACGAAATTGGATAGTTCGCCGAGCGCGTCAACCACAGTTTGAAGAGCTCTATGGACCCGTTTTCGCTGAAGACGACGTTTGTCCACAGTTGTGGCATACCAAAACAAATCTCTCTCCAACGACGCGATATTTGGGCCAATAACAGCGGTGCCTCCGAGGGAAGGACGCGATGCGATTCGAGTGGTATACAGTGTTCGAAGATGAGACACAGGATTTCTGGAGGGACATCCACAATGCTCATGGTGGTGGTTCGAGTTCAAGTTGCGAGATCATCCATCAATGATGTGATGCGATTAGATTAGTATACATTTGACTTATCAGATCATCTAGTCAGACCTCTATACGTCGCCTTTTCCTTCCTCGAACGGCGAGGGTGTGGTTTGTCTCGAGACCGACTTTTCATTTGACCCGATAGGCCCAACACCACGCAGACACACGACCGCGAGAATTGTACACAGCACCGACATGGCGAAAGCAGCCCAGTTCGCGGTCTGATACGCCTCTAAAGGCGCCCTCTCGTCAGCATCGGACAACTTGGCATCAAACGCAATCGTCGTGATGGCAAGACCAAACGCGGTCCCAAGCTGGGTAAGAGTTTGGAATATTCCGCCCGCCAGACTCTGCTCGTGTGGCAAACAGACCTTGGCGACGAAGAGTGTACCTCCAGCGAATATGAAGTCTGCGCCAAACACCGAGAAAACTGTGGAGGGGAAGCCAAAGGCCCAATACGATGCGGAGGGTACTATCAATGCGAAGAGAAGAGGCGCGATTCCCGTGAAAAACGTGCCACAAGCTAAATTGAAGTCAGCTTAGTCCCACACACACGCAGCGGTGCCCCGTACCAATGAGGATCATGAAATCCAACCGGCCAACAACGAGCATGACAAACACATTGCACAGGAAGCCGGTCACCATCATTGGCAGCATGCGGACTGCGGTGTGGACAGGAGACAGTCGGAGATAATTCTCATAGTAGACCTGGGCCCAGAAATACCACGAGAGGAACGACGCCCATTGAAAGAACGCGATGGCTTGCATGACCGCAAACTTCCCCTTTGCCCGGGTCCACATCGATAGTTTCATCAGTGGAGGCCGTTGTGTTTCGCTGTTCTTCTCAAGGTAGTACTGCCAAAAGATGAATGCGGCGAGGAGTAGTACACCCAAGATCAAGAGGGCTACTATGTCTGAACAACGTTAGTCCGCGTGGTTGTTGAGGTGGCTGAGTCCTGACTTACAAGGCGTCTTCCAGCCCTTTGAAGCTATTGAGCCTTGGCTTAGCACAAATACCAACAACGCTAGACCCGCAGTAACCAGAAAGGCGCCTAACCAGTCGACACGACGGTCCGTCTCCGTGCTGGGGAGGTCTGGATCGATGAGGAAGTAACCCACGACGGCACAGAAGACACCCAGGCCACATATGAGGTAGAATGGGGCGTGCCAGGTGGCCCTACAAAGTGGGGTCAGCCACAAATAAAAAATCACGGCACTCCGTGTCACGTACCGTGTATACTGCGTCAGCAGACCCCCGATTTGCGAGCCCACAGCGCCTCCAATCGGCGCGCCAGCGGAGAAAGTCGCGAATGCCGCTGAGCGGGCGCGAGAAGGCGGGAATGCATGGGCTAAAATGCCAAGCTACTGAATTAATCAACGACATAGGGCACGGAACGCTAGCTTACACAAGCCGGGATGAACGCGGCGGGACCCAATCCTTGGAAGCCTCGCAAGATGAAGAGCGAGTTAGCGTTCTTGGCGAAGCCGCATCCAAGGGAGAGGAGGCCCAGGTAGACTGTCCCCCCGAGATACATCTTTTTGCGTCCGTATAAATCGGCCAACCGGCCAAACAGAAGGAGGAAGCAGCCCTTGAGTAATGACGTAAAAAAGTGGACAGATTGAGAGGATTGAATACGCACCGATGAAAGTGAGAAGGCGGAGACAAGCCATTGTAGCTGATTCTCTTTGATGTGCAAGTCTTGCGCGATCACAGGGAGGTAAACCGAGACGGAAGACGAAGATGCAAGCTTCGAGAGTAAGAAGATTAGTGAAAACCAGAGAGCCAGGGGAGCTCACGTTCGTAATCATGGCGAGGGTGCATATCAGTACCAGCGAAACCGATCTCCAGGCTGGTCGCTGGGCATGGACTGTGAGTGATCCATCATGATACTGAGAGTCGACAGTCTCGTCTTCTGCGGTACCCATAAGACTTCAGACGGGCGGGGAAACCGAGAAAGGACCTCTACGGTTTTATAGCACGGGCGGAAGGAAGAGTGGGTGCTGTCGGCCGAAGGTGGATGAAGAATCGTGCCGTCATCAAAAAATAACAACAATTTCCGTCAACATGTCCACATGAGCTTGCCACCGATCATAGCATCCACAAACGCTGGTGCGCTTTGTTTAATGGGTCGGCGCGGTGCGCGCATCCTGAGCAAGTTTTGACTAATCGCTTCGGGCAATGTGCGGCCTTGAAAACACTGCGGAAAAAAGGACCATCCTAGTAACATAACGCCGTTTGTCGATACTTTCAGAGGCAACTCCGAGTCTGCCCGCAAGATCGCGGACGACCGATTTAAGAGTCATGACTGAAGCCACCGAGAAGTAGATACCAAAAGCTAATCGGCCGGGGAAGCGAAAAAAATGAGAATCAATGACGGCACGTGATATAGATAAGATAAGCAGATGTTCAAAGTGTGTCCGCCAAACATTGGTTTTTCTCGTTCATGCATCGACAGTCACCCAACTGTCCCTCTTTTCCGCCTTTGATTTCTTCCCAATTATCAACTTGACCGTCTTCACCTCGAACCCACGGAACGACAGATCCAAACCGACCTCCCTTCCATCGTGCTGACGCAAAGTCAGGGACTTTACACCCTCCCGAACGACTTCTTCCAGCAGGTTAGTCTCGTATGCTTTCTCGACGTTTAGACCAGTAGAAAGGCGCAGCTGGGCATGAGCATGTCCGCCAAACGCCTCGTACAGCCGAAGCACAACGCTCGTAGTCCCATCAGTCAAATCGTCATCTCCCCTTTTGACCGTCTCCAAGAATACATTTGGTGCGCCGGTGACATTGAATGGCGAGTGTGTCGTATTGAGGCTTCGAGCAGACGTCCCGGCACCAAGCGATCGGACTGAGAAGCGATCAGAACTATCGACAGCAATGGAATAAAACGTCACAAACTGTAGAGAGGCGAATTGAAAAGATAGGCCGCAGTTGGCACATCCGACTCGAGGAAATGACCTTTGTGGGGCAAGACCGCCCACGAGAAGGTATGCTCCCCTTGATCTTGTTCGGCATCCGGTTCGGTCGCAGCGCGAAGGAGCGAAATCCGTAAAACATTGCCCTGACAGGCGAAGCCATATTTGGATTCCGAAAGCAAAGCAACGCCGTAGCCATATTCGCTCAAATCGGCATACTGAAATCTTAGTCAGCCATGTCGGATTGAAGTGGGTCGAGTTTGTACCTTGTGACCGCAGACCTCAAACTTTTTTACGTATCAGATGTGAGCCAACGATCCTAGATTGGACCCACCTTGGCCATGTCCCAAGTGGTATTCTTGTGTGTTGGGCGCTGAACCCAGCCGAACTGCGTTTCGTACGTGGCATTATCACTGTGGATATCAAGTGGCAGCTCGACTAGGCTCGATAAGTGATAGCCCAAATTGCGCTTGAGCACAACGTACACTTGAGGAACTCGTGGCGCTCGTGCCAGTCAACCCAGGCATCAAAACGGAGCAAGCCTCGGGAGCCAGCTCTTGTCGTTGCTATTGAACCAATTTAGAGCATGATTAAGTTATTGATAGAAAGCTCACCAGGAACGGCATCAAGCGAGATCTTACGGAGTTGTCAGCAAAAATTCTACTAGATCGTGAAGCGAAACTCGTACCGTAACGCTAATATTACTTTGCCCATAGCGCACTTCTGCACGCACAGCAGCACGAAGTGGTCCATGAGCAACAACAGAAACATTCGCGAACTCAAGTTGTGTTGCCTTTTCGAGATGGTGGATTTCGACATCTACCATTTTGTCAGCTTGGCGGAGCAGTAAAAAACACGGCGTACCCCAGGCATCCCAAAAGTTCGGGCGATCTTCAAAGATGATCAGGCCACCAGTCGCGCCCTCTTGGATGAGCTCCCGTCTAAACCCCCAAATTCGGCTTGGTTATGAAAATGATTGAATGAAACCCACTGAAGTTCAACGTCAACCAAACTGGTGATCCGACCGCGCGAGATGGTGAGCTGCACACTTCCATTCCGAAGAACAAAATGATCTGCGCCATTAGTGTAGACTGTGGAATAACATCAGAAATGGAGACTCGGAGTAAGGAAAAAAGGGTTCACCAGATACGGGAGTAAAACCCCAAGCCTCGGTAACTGGTGTTGTTTCAACCGCTGCAGGACGTGCTCCGTCAGTGCAGTTGACCACCGCATAGCCCTCAGTGCCATCTGCGGACAACTGCGCAACTTGGGATCGCAGTCCGGCGGTAGTAGTCACGGGCAAGCAGACGACTTCCCGACGAGGGAAAAACGTGGTGTTATAGGCAACCAGTTCATCAAGCGTCTTCGCGCTTGCAGCAGGCTGAACACCACCTAAGATGACATCGAGAGCATCGTCGATCATTTTCTTGCCGTCCTTCTTGACTTCGGCGTACAATTTTTCGGCGTCGTCATACACCATGCCACTGTTGATACTCTCAGCCAAATTGTTCTTGGTGAATGGGAGATGACTAACATTGCAGAGCCAGGAAGAACTAGATTAAAGCATAAGGTTTAGCAGGAGAAGTTTCAACGAAGGCTTACCATCATGAACTACAAACAAAAGTGTTAGTTACATGTTCTCCAGTAAACTGGTCATCTCACATTGGTTGAGCAACACCTTCTCCCACGAATCATCAAGCGTCTGCTTAGGATACACGTATTTCTTGCGACCAATGAGGGAAGCCAATGTCGCGACGTGCTTAACAGCCTCCATTAGAAGAGCAACTCAAAGACATGATTGACTCACTTCAACGTCTCGGAGAAGAATTTCTGAATGCCTGTTGCCTTTCTTGATGGAACCTTGGACGAGTTCAAGGTGACGGAAAACACAATATGGTAAACCTCCTTACCATGCGAGGTATATGTTCCACGATGGAACTAAAGTAGCTAATTAGCAGTGAATTCGCCACTAAAACATGAAAACGAACCTCGAGATAGAGTTCGCCTCGCCAGTTGGGCAAGGTCTTCCCAGCTTTCGAGCTCTCGGAAAGATAGTCGAAAAACTCGTCAACAGAACGACCCATAACCACAGGAGCCAACTCTCGATGATTATTGGTCGTAGCACGGATGCGGCGAAGCTGAATTACTCGTCAGAGGTTGGCAAAGAAGACTTACAAGACGCACATTTTCCAACATCTTTGGTAATGGCCCGCCTCCTCCATCACCGTTGCCGAACACAAGCAGTGATGTGTCAGATGATTCGAGATTCTGGACAAAAAGTTAACTTTTTTGAGGCTTTTTCGGTGAGCAGCAGTGACCTTGTGGTTCGAAATGGCCCTGTTAACATCGCCAACAGTGGCTTGTGCTGTGTAGGTATCGACAGGGGTCATATGACAAAGAACTTGGGTCCCATCAATGCCGACCCAGTTGAACGTCGAATGGGGGAAGTTGTTGCTTTGGGGTTATATGAACGGGCTTCAACTATCGGTGCAACAAAGCCTTACATGTTGTTCCTGTTGAGAGAATCCCATTCGTCAATATGAAACCAGCACACAGCGTTCGAGACAAACCATGATAACTTCTGAGTAAAGAAGTATTTCATTCCCGCCCCACGGAAGAGCTGCGGAAGAGCTCCGCTAAGGCCAAATGAGTCGGGGAGCCAACCGGTTTCTGAGCTAAAAGATATGCCATCAGAAACATCCTTCAACCAAGGCGCACAACTTGCCGAACACCGAATCTGGATTGGAAGTATCGCTGGCCAAACACCATTTGGCGTACGAACGCCTCTCCAGAGGGCATATTTCCATCATGTTCGACCCACGCACCACCAATCGGGTGGAAATGTCCCGCAGCAACCTGATCGCTGAGCCGTTCAAACAAAGACGGGTATTGCTGCTCGAGCCACTTGTACTGTTGAGCCTGCGAACAGGTGAATCTGTGCTCTGGATAGCGTTCCATCAAATCAATCTGTGTTGACCAGCTACGAGCGGTCTGTAAAGTAGTTTGAGTATTACAAACTTCGGACCAAAAGGCACAATACCTTCTGCTGAGTGACTCGGTAGGGCCAAAGCCATGCTGTGTCAATATGACAATGTCCAATACCCCAGACTAAACTCCTGGGGGCGCCTTTGTCTTCGTAAACGGTGTCTGTATCCCAGCCAGTACCAAAAACCTTCTCTGCAAGGCCACGCGCACGCTTGATGGAGCTTAGGTCCTTGTGATTGAAGACATTCATGATCTCATTGGCAGTAGAAAGCGCGAGATTTTGCAAACTGTCGGGAAGTTACAAATTCGAGAATTTACCAGTCAGGGAACGGCGAACATACGGGGTATTTCCAGGCAGAGTGTCGACGAGTTCACGAAGGGTTTGGAAGTCCCAGAGCAAGCGCCAAGCATCTTGATTGGGGACAACGATGTCGGCCATGTCGAGGCGGAAGTAGCGGTTGGGCTATGATTTGTTGAATATAGAATGACGAAGATCCAGAAAGCGCACGTCTGGAGGACCAATTCCTCCGCCGCCCATTCCGAACATTCCATTGCAGGAGCTCTCGATGACGAACTTGTGGATGCCGGCCTTACGGGCAGCCGTTGGGATGATGTACTCGACGCGTCTGTCCCCCCCATAACCACCCGTGATCCCTACAAGCAAACGTGAAAACGCGCTAACGTTTGCTCGGGTTACTTGCCTTGCAATGGCGTTCCATCGACATCAAATATCATGGCTTCGCATCCTGGATCGAACTCAACTGCCAACCTTGTCAGCCAAGAATCGTGGGGGGGGGAGTTAACGTACATGTAACGCGTTCATACTTCTCGAAGTCCTTCGGAATGTGAAGGGTGACTTTCCACCAGTGATTCGTCTGCAATAGAAGATCAACAGTGTGGTAGGACACAAGGAGCTGAGGCGTGTACCCCTGCAAAGCATGTCATTAATGAGTGTGTGAAGCCAGAGCGGAACCCAACATACAACTGGGACCAAACGAGTCGCCCTTCTTCGCTGGCTTGAACTCCTGCTTCATGGCCTCGTCGAACAGAGGTTTGGTCAATCCTGGAGCACTCCATCTAAACACGGAAACGATATCAATATCCACCGTCTATGAGGGGAAGACTCAACGTACACTTGCAGCTCAACAAAGTCCGGGCCATCCTCCTTGCGTTCATAGAGCACTGCTCCAAGGTTGACGTCGCCGAAATGACCACCGTTGAACTGGCCGATGCGGTCCTGGGTGAGGTTCTTGATCCATTTAGCACCAGACCCAGGGTTGAGTTCAGGATATGGGGTCGAGCCTAATGTTATGCTAAGTAGTGTAGTGTACCTTACAGTGAAAATATACTGACTCGAGTGACCGTGGTGGTGGCAGCTCATCGTCGTTAAGAACGACGATGTGGGGATGACACGTGACTCGGACTTGTACATCAATTGAAGCTACATATGTCAACGACAAAAAGTATATGGAAGTTCAGCAGTTCAACAGTGGGACACTCAAGGGACAACGATCACGATGCAGTCGAAGATCTCATCGCTCAAAAGGAAAGTTTTACATTCATTCGACCTGCAAGGAGTCCCCAAGTCCATGTAGGGATGCGATAGTGAAGGAATAATTAAGGAAAGGGTGAAGGTACGACAGCGACGAAAACATGAGATTAGATGAGTTTGGAAGAGGGGGGTATGCGCTTGATGAATGCATATGCCAGGTCGTGATGCAAATATAAGAAAAGGGTACCAGTGAGAAATCTACATGCCACCGTAACCCCCTCCACCATACGCCTGATGCGGACCGGGAGATGGAGTTCGGCCAGCACCAGCATAGGCTGCTTGTGGGCCTGGAGAAGCACGTCCCCCATACATTTGGCCGGGCGCGGGAGAGCCTCGTCCATAAAGTTGCTGGGGCCCGGGGGAAGCAGAACGCCCGTACGCCATTTGCGGGCCAGGGGAAGGTGTCCTTCCAGCGCCAGCGTAAGCCATTTGAGGACCAGGGCTCGCTCTTCCAGCCATTTGGGTCATCGGGATAGCCTCATTTCCACCCCATTCCTGTGGAGGGGGTCCATTTGCCTCGTTGAAGGTTTGTGGGACAGGTCCGTGGTAGGGGTCGTAATAGCTGGCTGTGTTCATCGCATTGGGGTCATCGCGATAAGGTTGGCCGGGGTTCATATGTGGAAGTGGGGGAACCGCATATGGGTCTTCATTGGAGCTATGGAAGTCGGTTGACGAAGCGTTGTACGTATTCGCGGCGGAGGGCACTCGAGAAAGGTCTCCAGCGGTGTCGAAGCCAGACCGACCCGTATTGTGAACAGGCATTGCATGAGTGTCCCCTCCCTCGCCATGGGCGTTGAGCTCGGGCCATTTAATGGCCTCGTTGTCGTCGAATTCGCCACCCTTTTTCCGTGTCAACTTCCAAATTAAGAAGCCCGCCAGACAAAGGACCGCAACACCCCCAGCGGCTGCCAGACCCGCAATACCACCAGTGCTCAATCCGGGCGAGTCGTCGTCGTCTTTCTTGTTGTTGTCGGCCGGGGTCTGGCTGGGGGAGCTCGAAAGAGGTAGAGTGCTGGTCAATGTAACGTTTACTGTTGCAACTCCGCCATCTGGGGCTGTCGATACTGTCTGTGAGGGGATAAGACTGACAGTTGTGGATGGTGGTGGGGTTGAAGAAGGGCTCGAAGGAGCAGGGGTCGAGCTAATGGATGATGGGGTCGACGACGGTAGTGTGCTTTGTGAGGACGGAAGACTGGGTACAACTGAGCTGTTAGAAGGGCTCTCTTGCGCTGAGGCTCCAAGTGCTACAGCAAAGAGCACTAGCAGTTGGAGGGGCTTCATCCGAGAGGATCGAGTGAAAGAACGGTTGTCACACTTTCGTCACACAGGCAGGACGCGGCCATCATGACCTATAACAAAAAAAAATTCGTCCTTGCTTCAAGCTTCAAGTCTGCCATTCCGTCTCACTCAGTCTAGCTTCCCTCTGACTTTACACAAAGAGCTAACTGCAACTCCATCCACTTTTGATCCTCTTTGCTCTCGTTTTTGTCGCCTGTCGGCATGTCTCCACCGCTGCAGTGCATCAATCATACGTTGTGGTCTTGGCAGCCTGCAGTGCCTTGGATACTGAACTGGTTCCGTGTGCTTCTGCTGATTCCAATGAGTCATGGCTGTTGGACCCTCCAACAAGAGCCTAGAGGTTACTAGTACTAGTAATACTAATAGTATCTGGGGTTACACCCAAGTATCGACAAACACAAAAGAATATTCAAGTTTGACGCAGGACGCTTTCTTCACCCATAGACTCAGATGTGAGCTCATCTGAGTCTCCTTCAAGTAGCATGACCCTATATTCTTCAAGCACCACTATTTCAAAACCTCGACTTTGTACCAGTTTGTACCCCAAACGTTTGAAACACGTACGCGGAGCACTGCGCTAGTGAGCGCACTCAGCTTTGCAGCATTGATCCCCAGATGATCCTTTTGTTCGTCGTGAGCAAGTCAAGAGCAAGTCAGAGTAATAGGAAACGGCCAAGACGTGAAAGAGCTCTGGATTGGGCTCAGATTGCAGCAAACAAGCATCATGATTGCGATGAGACTTTTGCGAAACCAGCTTAAACGTTGCAGGATAAAAATACAAATGCAGCTTTAAAGAAGCCTAACCTACTTGGAATAAATATTAACAGCTATCCATGCTTATGCTAATACTCTGCGCAAACCCTCTCGCTGTGTCGGCGTGATGCTATCAGGGAACTTGACGTCCCACTGTACAACCAAGTTACCCTTTGTCCTAACACTCCCGTCTTTGCGTATCGGCATGCCCTCGTTGCTGACTATCGTCTCTTGAAAAGGCTTGACAACGCCAGGTGGGACGGCAATTTGCAGTTTCCGTCCATCGAGTGCTTCTACGACTTTCTTGCCGCCTGACCCCGTCAACGCATCAAGCAGCGGTATCGACACCTTGCACAGAAGATCGTTTCCTTTTCGCTCGAATGTTTCGTGGGGCTTCTCCTCGACAACGAATACCAGATCCTGAGCTTCTCCTCCAGGAACGTCGTTCCCTGCGTGGGGGAAACGGACCTTCGTGCCGCTCTTCCAGCCTGGCTGCACATGGATTTCGTGCACTTTTTCCTCGTTTGTCCCGTCTATCAGCTTGCGACCGACTTTCAGGCGTTTCGTGGTCCCAGAATAGAGCTCGTTGAGGGAGAGTTTGAGCGGTCGGGTGATTTCTGTCGGTGCGGCCGGTTTTGAAGGCGAAGCATTGCGTTTTCGTGATCCACCACCGGGCATAGCGCCAGGCATATCAAAGCCAAACATCCCAGGGTCGTCCATGTCGATATCTTGGTCGAACATCGTGTGCGATCGTGGTTGTGGCTTGGGAGGTCTGGTAGTGCGGGTCCTTCCACTGCCCATGCCCCCCATTCCATTCATGCCGCCCATACCTCCAAAGGCACCACCAAACGGCGAACCGCCGCCGAATATAGATCTGAAGGATGTCAGTATATCGGTCTTTAGGTTCTGTAGTCACTCACTCGAAGATAGCGTTGGGATCAGTTGCATGGAACCCGCTAGCCCCAGGCCCGTTGGACGAGAACGAAAACGTTGCTCCGCCGGGGAAAGAGCTCCCACCGGGGAATCCACTGAATCCACTAGACGAAAAACCTGGCCCGCCTCCGCCTTGTCCAGGCACAGGACCGCCAGACTTGAGGCCTTCTTCACCGAACTGGTCATATATTGCGCGCTTATTGCTGTCGCTGAGTACTTCAAAGGCTTCTGAAATCTACGAACGTCGAGTGAGACAACATACGTGGCGCTCGAGCATGGACGCACCTCTTTGAACTTCTGACTGGCTGCTTCTGAGCCTTGGTTCCGGTCAGGATGCCATTTTAGCGCCTGTTGGCCATGATTAGCAACCCAAGTCAATGAAGGAGTCATAGACACATACCATTTTCTTGTAGGCAGATTTTATCTGTGCATCGTCTGCAGAACGCTCAATGCCGAGCAGCTTGTAGTAGTCTTTTCCCATGTTGGTCGAGGGTATAGAGGAAGGATAATGTGAGGTGAGTCGCGAGCGCTGCGGCGGTGGTAGTGGTTATAAGGAGACACTTGGAATTTACACGGTCATCGGCCAACGTTCCGGAACGTGCTAGAAGATGACGTCAGGTGGCGGTGCGATAAGATACCATCAGTTCAGTCATGAATTGTTGGTCAAGCAAAGGTCAGAGCTCGGAAGTCGTGTCGATTGATGAGTGTAGTAATACATGAGGGAGAGCATAGGGCATATCGAGAGGTGGGGGCATACATCATAAGAGCATAGTACTTGAGAGCATATTCTGGGGCACTGCATGAAGCGGAAGAGAGAAAGACTCGACAGACTTCCAAGCTCGTTCTCGAAGAGAAAAACTGATAGTTCAATCGGAGCGACGTGGTTTTCGCAGCCAGAATCGGCTTGCGGCGCTCCTCCATTCCGTTTTAATTTTGAAGCTCTGAAAACTCCGATCAGGATTCAGTTGAGATGCGAGAAAAGAAAAGGCGTACGGCTTGGAAACGCCAGCATGGGCTGGCTAGCCAGACGATGTCGCATGGGTCCATGCTGAGCTCGAATCGCAGGGCGGCGAGAGAGAAACTCTGCCCTTCGCTCCTGGCCATATTCGTCACAAATGTTGGAAGGGATGGTGTTGTGGGTTCGCAAAGGCCGGCGGCGAGGTTGGGTCGCGTATTGGTTGGGGCTGGTGGGCGTCGGTGGCACTGCGCGTAAGACATCGCGAGCATCCATGAAGTGGCTCGATTGGCTGGACGAAGTCGGCGATCCCGAGCCGTGGGATTCAGAGCAGTCTGTGTCGTTTGACCCTCGACGCCTGCGGCGGTTTGGATTGCCAGAGGGGAAGAAGATCATTGTTGGGGCGGTGGCACAAGTGGCAAAGCTTGCCGTGCTCGCGTTCGCATGGGCCAGCGCGAGCTTGGAGCGATTGCGGTGCCTCACGGCCGCTAAGCCCTTCGCGACGATGTCCCCGGTGTCGAGCTTCTTCAAGGCAACCATGATTTTGAAGTCCTTGGCTTGCTCCTCCGTGACGAAATAGTTGCCAGAGCAGCCTTCCCCAATGCAGTTGTGCTGGCCAGGGGTCCCGACAGGCGGGTTGAGACTAGAGCAGAATGGCGTATCGCATTCGAGGTACATGTGGGATGGGTAGGGCAATGGATCGTGGTTGAAGAAGGCTGCCTCGGGAGGAGGGGAAGGTTGGGGTGTTGGTGGACGGTAGTGCAAGTCTGCGTGGATGAGCTCGCCTTCTTGGGCCGCAGCAAAGAACTCTGCGTAGCCTCCGGTGTTGAAGACGCTGTGCTGGAAATCCCGCTTTTGTTTTCGCTTCTCGGGATGAAGGCGAGCAAAAGCCTTGAGGATTCGTCCACCTGGTTTGGATAAGTGATTCAAGTCGAGAGGATAACCAATTGTGGATGACGAACCGAGTTTCTTGCCCATGGTTGAAGAGTATGCAGCAGGTGTTGAGCGGCGATATGAACTTGGGGGAAAGCGTTTGAAGAACTGTAAAGCTTTCTGTGGCAGCCTTATAAGTATTGCACAGCATGATTGTTGAGGGACAATGCGCAAAGTCAAAGCAGTAACTCCCATAAACAGGCCGACCTCACCCAAGCACAGTCACATGTGAATGAGTCGTCTTCCACACGGAAATTCCTCCGGGGATGAGGGCTGGCTGGGATACAAAGATTCCCTGCAAGGGACCTCTGAAAAATTAATGCCTGCCCGACATGGCCCGAGAATGTAGCCAAAATAAACGGTCCGATAAACCTTGACCTTGGTCTAAGCACAACAAGCTAATGCGACCAGTTTCTCAAGGAAAGCTATTAGGCAGATCGAGTTCCATTTCGTTGAGTCGCATGCTGTGAAGAGCCAAGGGATTTGAACAGGGAAGGACTTGAACTTCAAAATTCAGGTTGTGTTCCAAGAGCAACGGAGTGGCGGGAATCGTCATTCTGATGTTGAAAGGAAATTTGTGCGGTCGAGCGGGATTCAATGACGTGATATGGATGCTCCAAAGTCCTAGAGCACGGTATAGCACACAAGCTGGAGAGACTCTGAGTAGGTGGATGGTAGAACGTCAACAAGATACAGTGACTATGCGATCAAATCACTGACACTTGCTTTCACAAAATATTCCAAGCTATGAACCAACTAGGGGTCGCCTGCTTCGCGTCGCCACACACCTTGCTTTGCTCCCTTTTTAGTTCGTTGCAACCGTGCAGATATTATTATTATGATGCATAGTAGGGAACTGATGTCCTTCAGTGCCTACGTCGCCCTTTCTAGAAGCAGAGGGAGAGATGACATGCTCCCTGTACAGGCCAATAAACCCATTCAATGAGGGTGTGACACAGCACTACAGTATTCACAACACACCCATTGCCCATGCTGAAGAGGGAGAACAAAAAGCTGGATTGTCTTACACAGGAGATGAAACATTGGTGGGAGAGGACCCAGCCAAGTAATTGAGTTAGTAGTAGAAATTCGAGCAGTACACTGATTTAAACGGTGGCAGTGCTAATATTTGTACTTGTGTGTTTTTGGCAAATTTGATGGGGTATTTTAGACGGTGGGGGACCTTGCATTTTCAAAGCAAGGTGACAAAAGAAGGAGACAGGGACTTAGTGTACCGTGTCGAGCTATGCTGCAAGGACTACTTCACCTTGCTTTGAAAATGCAAGGTCCCCCACCGTCTAAAATACCCCATCAAATTTGCCAAAAACACACAAGTACAAATATTAGCACTGCCACCGTTTAAATCAGTGTACTGCTCGAATTTCTACTACTAACTCAATTACTTGGCTGGGTCCTCTCCCACCAATGTTTCATCTCCTGTGTAAGACAATCCAGCTTTTTGTTCTCCCTCTTCAGCATGGGCAATGGGTGTGTTGTGAATACTGTAGTGCTGTGTCACACCCTCATTGAATGGGTTTATTGGCCTGTACAGGGAGCATGTCATCTCTCCCTCTGCTTCTAGAAAGGGCGACGTAGGCACTGAAGGACATCAGTTCCCTACTATGCATCATAATAATAATATCTGCACGGTTGCAACGAACTAAAAAGGGAGCAAAGCAAGGTGTGTGGCGACGCGAAGCAGGCGACCCCTGTACTTGTGTGTTTTTGGCAAATTTGATGGGGTATTTTAGACGGTGGGGGACCTTGCATTTTCAAAGCAAGGTGACAAAAGAAGGAGACAGGGACTTAGTGTACCGTGTCGAGCTATGCTGCAAGGACTACTTTCTCTAGTGGTGCGTGCCGATTGCAACCGAAAAACCCAATCCATTGACACTCATTTATCACGCAGCTTTCTGAGAAAGCCCTCTGTTCTCAATTTCTCTCGCACAGAAGGGACATTCCCATACTCTGCGACTCTCATTCACGAAAACACCTCTAATGCCACGAAAACTCTTCTCTCATCCATCTGCGAACAACATTTCGTTTACGAACACAAATTTTGCACTGTTTGACGCAAGCACTTGTGTTTGTGTGCAATTTTACTATGACGAATCCACGAAGGAAATCTGAAGGACGGAATGCCAGGTGGAACATCTCTCCCAAGTCTCAACTTACAACCAACCGCCACGAGACTACGTCCTACCTTGACCGCCGACATTCCATTTCTCTGGCAAGAGATGGATACGTGCTATCGTGAAGATGCGGACCGCATTGAGAGCCTCGAGGAGACCGTTGAGAATCGTTGGTTTCTCGCTGGACAACATTGGTATGCTATAGCACGACTTTCAACGCTCAAGTCTCTTACTAGTTACAGATGGCTATCGCGCGAAGTAAACAACAGCGAACATTACAATCTGCGGCAGACGGTGCGTCCTTGCCTTGAGTTACAGTCCCCCACTTACGGTCAAGCAAGCTGTTCGCTTTACTCAGACACGCCTCGGGGGTTCTTTGAACATTAATACATATTTATATCCTGAACGTCACTTGGTTGGCCTAATGGCCGTAAGCCCAGAGCCCGCGACAAGGGGGACGCTATTTCTCCGGGACCTCTTCGACAACATGATTGGCAGACAACAGAGAGTTCCGTCAACCCACTTCCGACCAACAAGTACTCCCTCACACCTCTAATCCATCCCTGCGGAATTTTGTCTGCCACGACAGCCGATTACGTCGATGGTCTCGTAGGCCCTACATTCTAAACCCTCACACAAGCAAGGTGGCTAAACCTGCAAGCATGAAACGGCCAGGCGATTGGGCGGCAAGCCAAACGATATTCGGCTATCTGCAGACGCTCCCTTCCTGGTGAAGGGGCAACTCATCCATCGGAGGGAGGAACTCGGCGCAACAAACCCAGTCATTATCATCAAGCCACGACGAACAGAGCTGGAGCTTTTTCGGTCGGCCTTTAACCCGTTCTCGCAACTTTGGTGGTACCCGTGCCCGCCAAACCTGCCTTTCGGCAGATCCACTAGCTTGCTTCACCGTTTAACCGGCTTCATCGACAAATCGTCTCAGCCTCAAGGAGCTATGCTAGGTCTTGACGTTCGCCGTGATGGCCGATTCTCGAGTGATCTTGTAGTGCCCACATTCAACGAGGTTCTCGCGCGCGCAAGCTGGCCAGGCGTACGGGCGCGAGCGTCCAGGCAATGCGACAGACAAGCCATGCCATCCGCGAACTCTCCATCTGGCAGAAATCCCAGTGGCCACAAACATCCATCGCAGAGGCGGTTTAGGCGTCAAGTCCCAGTCGTTCCGGCGATGACCACTCCCACCCCACGAACCGAGCTGGAAACTCTTGTTGCCTTAACACGGCGCTCGCAACTTGGATGGTGCCCACCAGGTTCGCCAGGGCGGCGTCATCGACTACATCATTCGAATCAGCCTGAGGAGGTACAAAGCTAGCTTGTTGTGGTCCAGGTTGGCGAATGCACCGTGACTGGACTGAGTAGTAAGAGTGGTGAAGCAAGGGCATAATGACATTACCGTAGCTAAAGCGACGACTTTGAGGGTAACCTGTGGTTGTATGCTTTGCT